ACATGGAACAGCTACTTATTCTCGAAGCTCGGCGATGCCCCATATAGCTTCCTTTTCTCGCCCTGGTCTTCAAGGAACATGTGCAGTCAATGCTTCAAACTCGAACCCACAAAATGTCCTCGTCAACCCCACCCTCGCCGCCAAGCAATCGGGAGCGGCGAGAGAGCCGCAGCGCCTCGGAACCACATGTTAGGCGGACGGCGCCTAACTTGGCGAAAGAGGATAATGAATGCAAATGAGTCACCGAGGTTGGTTATTTCCTAAGTGGAGAGATTTCGTGGATGAAGATGTCGGCCGGCCGATAGTGGAGATACCGGCCGCCGGGGCTGGCAGCCGGTAGACCAGCCTTCCTGATCGCACGCAATAAGCAATAAACATTCAGAGGATTACGTCCCCCTCCCCTTGCCTCAAATCCATTCTCAAATGAGGCGGCTAAGGCTCCTGGGCGGCTTCATCCCATAATGCCACCACTAACCTGGAGCTGGAAAATCCAAGGATGTCAAGGCAGTCCACCACTTCTGAGAAAGAGGAGAGGGGGCGGCCAGAGACTTTACGTGGACGACAACAAACGATCCCGGCGGGTCTATGATGTAAACAGGGCGTTGTGGCCTTGCCCCTTCCACTGCCGCTAGGAAAGTCTGATAAGGCGGGCTAATTGGGATTAATATGCAAATTATCGTTCCGCCTAGCCAGTCGCTCGCGCCCTTTGCGAGCTCCTTTTGGATGGGTGACCAATCCAACATTTTACCTGATTGATAAGCAAGGGTTGAGAGCGCGACCGCCGTTACCCCCTTCAATGTTCACAATCAATGGCAGGTTTTTGCAAGCTTTGGGTGCGGACTACAATTTGCTGACATCTGGACCCGTGTATCAATAGTAGCTCCACCCTGATTGCCCAAGGTGGTGTACTTCCGGACTTAAGCCATCACCGAAAAATCCTTCACTACACATTCCGCTGGTGGGTGAGACTACATCGGAGATCGGCCAGCGCTTCCCCGACCGGCTTTAAGGCGTCGGCGTGCCTCAGACCATTTGCAATCTTGTGCGCGATCCTACCAACGCTCGCCAGGCTATCCAGACTGCACAGCAAGATATGGATCTATGCGGTGCGGAGAGTGAGCGGCGGCACTTGCACTTGCACTTGCACTTGCCCTTGCGCTTGCCCAGGCCCAACCAGAGCAAGTACTTTGCAAATATAGAAACTTGTTCCGTATCTCGCGCCAGGATCATGGGTGCACGCGCCTTGCGGGAAGTTGGACGGTGATTTGATTATCCATGATCCCCCTTGTGCTTCATTGCCCATGACATAATTTGTCAGCCAAAAAAAGTGCGATGCGCCATGCGCGCGCACATTGGGCACCAAAACCTCACCTATCCACCCGTCGCGACTCTTCTGTCACCTTGTCCCAAGGCTAGGGCTGGCTCAATCTCCGCCAAGGATCGAGACCGTGGCCGAGGGTCCCCTGTCGCACGCCAGGAGTGTCCCAGCGAAAGTGAAGTGCATGGTTTCTCGGGGATTAGGTTTGAGGATTCACAGAGCAGATATGCTCACTCCTCCTATCTGTCGTGAGGGGCGTGGCCGTAGACGTGACTGAAACTTTGGTGGGCACTTGGTCAATCATGGGATGGGACCGGGTGTGTGTGTGTGTGTGTGTGTGTGTGTGTGTGTGTGTGTGCGTTGTACATAGCACTGTAGGCCACCAAGGTGGCTCAAGGAGGGGGAGGAGAAGACAGACGGCGGTGGGTGGGTGGTTGGGGGAAGCAGCGGTGGTTTAACAGCCATCATATCCCATCTCTAAGCTAGGGAAGCGATACTTGATCGACACTTGCTTGGGCGGGGCGGTCATCGTCACCTTGAGATGAAGTGATGGGGACTCAAAAGGAGCAGAACCCGATCATCGATGCCGAGCTGCCTTTGCTCTCTCGGTGACAACTATGCATGCTTCATCTGCAAAGCGACCAGCCCTATGAGACCTGGAGGAGTGGGGTAAAGGGGACGCGAGGGGTTGACTTGTGAGTCCCTCCGCGCGCGATCGTTTGTCCTTTTTTTTTTTTTAAATGGGATATTCGCAAAGCCTGCGCGGGCGCGGGCACTGAAGGCCCCGGATCGAGGAAGCAAATGTCATGACCAAGCCATCGTCTATCGTGACCTCCACTAGCACGCCAATCCAAATTCAGTGATGGAATTGGATAAATGTCAGTTTTTAAGGTTCCGTCCAAGCCTAGATCAACGGCTGATGCACCAGTGATTCAGCAGAATTCCGGCCCCGGACGGGGGTAGATCGATCCATGGCTACGTCAGACCCGCGATTCGTGAAGCAGCGCCAACGGGCTGAAAACGGATGGACATGATATCAGTTTTCCTTTTTTTTGCGACTGTGAAAGAAAGCGTACTCCCTCCTCCCAAGGGCAGGGGCAATCGCCACCACTGGAGAGGCTAGATTTCCATCTTGGGATCACAAGTCTTCAATGTTGGGAAATATGACCCAGAGATGACGGCCTTTGCTAAGCAATGTGCTCTAGATCTCTGGACGAGATCCTGACAATTTAACCCAGTGGACCTGACCGGCTAACCGAGATCTTTAAAACACGCATGGAAGCATGTGGTGATAGACTTTCTCGAGAACGTGGGGTCCCATGAATTCGTGAGGGGCGCTCAATAGCTATTCCAGACATTTATTGCTACCTGGAGTTCAAGGCTCTACCTAACCTGCCCCTGCACCGTAGACTGGATTCTTCGAAATATGCCATGCGCCGACCTCTCTCTCTCTCTCTCTCTCTCTCTCTCTCTTTAGTCCCAGCGAGCTCCTCCCTTCACCATCTCTGATCCCATCTCACATTTGATTTCGGACGCGGCGAAAGACTCTCACATGGCATTCCCAGCAGCCGTGCCTCATCGCTTTTTTTTTTTTTACGCGGAATAGCTTGGCGTAAAGGCCAAAAGGGAAGGCGCCCATCTTATCCCCCGGAAGCTATATCTCGTAAAAACGTGAGGCCTGGTTGGGGCGAAACTCCAATTTGTTCTCCGGTGGCCCTAGTCTCGGGCCGTTTAGACGCATGTTGCGATCGGCAGCGACAAGATGGCGAGAAGCCTATCTTTTCCTTGGCGACAAGCTTGGCGCACAGCATATCGCGCCGGGAGCGACGTGTGCTTCTTCTTGAAGCTGTCCGTCGTCAACCAGCCAGTTAGTGGTGAAGGAAAGTTGACTGTATTTGCTCTTGATCCTTGGTGATCAACCAAGAGGCATCCGGCCCAGGCCACAGCGCCACCGTTTCGATGAAATTTGATAATAAAGCCAACCACTTTGAAGCAGCGCAGGCGTCTGGATTAGCCACTTGAGCGACGATGCTGTGCAACGAGCATCCCCATACACCTATCATATGGCTCGATTCGAAGCTAAATTCATCCATGCCGAAGTAGATGGAGATGATCCGCGCTACGGCAATCTTTCATGAACCTATAAGAGGCGGTAAAAGAGTGGCTGATAACACCCTCACCGAAGTCTTTCGTCAAGGCATGGAGAGGAAGAAAATGATTTATTCCATCAACTAAATGACGGATTATATGGCAAGGAAGGCTCGGCTGGTTTTCGAGCCTACATGCAAGGGTTAAGTCCTGAGAGCAAGGCTATGAGATTTCGGCCGAGGTGTTAGCCTACCTCTTGTTCAGGCAGAAAATGACATCTCGCCGCTGCACCGGAGTTACGTTAGTACTGGGCGCATCTCGTGATGGCGATTCAATTCCTGACCTTTCAAGCCTCTGACCGGCTGCGAAATCCGGGCTATCTAATCGAGATGGCCATCCCGCAACCTATGATCGCGCTTCTCTCGTGTTGCCCTCGAGGTTCCTCTTGGCCTGCGTTAGGACTGCGAGAAGTCATCTGAAGCGGAGTTCGGAGTGAATTCTATGACGGTCGGAGCTCATCTGCCTATTACTTGCTTCATGAGCTAGTTTACTAGATCGCTATAGACGTAGGCCTTAGCTCCGTGCTTCCTCCTCCAACCGCACCCATACCCCTTGGCCGGATACCGCCATTTCTTGAGGGGGAAGCGCTCACTCGAGGGTATTTAGGCATGGGCATATGTAGACGTCTGTTTCGCATTTCCTAGCGATCGGGTGCTTTGTATCTGGGTTCTTGATGCGAGCTGCGGAGAAGGCTATTGTACGGTGCGGCCTATCCATTAGAGGCGGTGCTAGCTCTCGCTGTAGGTCTCTGTACCTCGACACGACGGGGTCCGGCCTATTCAAGAGTTCCCTTGTCCAACAGTACGTGGTTCCGCTCTCTATATATATCTATCTCCTCTCTGTATGTGCGCGGTAACCATGCCTCTCGGCCGATTCACGAGGGTGCTGGATGTTAGTTCTCCATCATATCAAACTCCAAGCAAGCGCACTCCCTACTCAAGGGTGTCGCCGTGATGATATTTATATCCATTACTTCGTGCCCGCATATTGACCCTAGAGCTTTTCTGCGGACCGCCGTCGTGTAAAGTGTATGAGCTCTGTTCTTTCGATATAAGATGTAAGACGTTCTTGATATTGGCGACTAGCCTTATCATGGCCATCCCCCGTATCTAACCCCTCTCGATACGTGTATAGTTGCTGTGGTGAGATCGATTGCTGAGCTTCCGGGAGAGCCTCGAGTGTTTTCGTGCGGATGGTTCGTCCACGCATCACGATCCATACGATCCGGGGCTATCAGCAGCTCTAATCATTTCGATAGTACTAATAGTAACGTTGGCGGAAACACTTTCGAGTCTATCCAAGCAGGCTATTACTCCCCAACTTGTAATCCAGAAGATCATCTGAAATGGTTCTAGAGAAGGTTGGGTCGACTTCCAGAAGATGAAGAGTAGCTGCTGCGATGTGTACCATAAACGAACCACTCCGGCGCCGGCTTCCTTCCTCTCGTGCGCAACCACATTCTCGTTTGCTCTAGCTCCTTTTAAAGATGCAACGTAGCTGCTTTGGGTCTTCTTGGTTGTACAAACGGGAAAACTCACTCGGCGGCTGCATCTGGAGTGTTGCAGTCTTGGTTGAACCCCGCTTCGCTTCTGCCTGCTGGAGATCATGTCATGTCCCCAGTCCTGCAGATTAATTTGCTCGATGCTTCGATTGATTACGGTCAGGCTAGGGCCTTACTCACACACCATGAAGAACTGGACGGAGTGATACAAAGATGCTCCTCTCGGGACCTGATGTCGAAAGGTTGAATTAGGTTAAGTGGGCTGATCAATTCTCTCGGGAAGGCCTCCTTTCTACACACACCAGGCAGGTGAGAGGACTGGATCACGGATCTCTTGGACATACATGTGATGCCAATACTGTGAATAGCTTGGTCGGCTATGAACTGACAGTATGGTCACCCATTTCTTCAATGTCGTGAAATATCGACTGTGGAGATCACTGATAGCTGGACTGACCTGCTCCCTTGGCTGCATTCCTCAAGGTTCTCGCCAATTTCACGGCCTCAGCATTCAAAAAAATCCCATCATACAATGACTCCCAGATCTTTCTCCCCTTGAAGTAGTCCGCGACCCTCCATCTTAGCCTCCCCCACCCAGCTTCATCCCTTTGAGGGTCCAGCACCCGTTCCATACACTCGTTTAGCTTCCCCGCTGCCTCGGCACCCAGTCGCTCTCGCACAGTAGCCGGGGATTTCTGCAAGGCATGGCCCGTGGTGCCGGTGGCGCCGGCGTCGTTTGATAGCATTGGCATGACGAACTTGGCCTGTTCCGGAGTCTGAACAGTGTCTTCTGGGAGACCGGCCGCGGCGAGGGACGCGGCGATGAGGTTGCGGTTTGCTTCGTCCTCAGGTTTTCGGTCTGTTAGTTGCACAGATTTGGACATGATTGTTACAGATGACGACCGGGCTACTATGGTATGTAGGTAATTCGTGGTTGGTCTATGTGGTTTCGGCTGAGGTGTTGGGGGAAGAAGAAAAAGAAGAAGAAGAAGAAGGGCACGAGAATGGCGGGCTACTATGGCTCGTGGAACATCAAGAGCACGTATAGACCTGGGAGCAGCACCGATCTTCAGCAGCCCTACATCATCCCGTCACTACCTACCTTCGATGCCCGCTTCTAGCCCTCCTACAGTACACTTGATGTCGGCGGGAGAGTTTATGGTCGGTTACACAGCTCAATACTCGGCACACATCGATATCCCCAAAGAGTGAAACGGTCGATGGTACCCCGTAGAGGGTCGTACGATGTTCGGAGCTGGTCTGAGTACTATGGAAGTATTCATACCAAGTGGGCTACAAACTAGCTTCGGCCAGTCCACGATCTATCTAATGAATATATCCAAGAATTATCTATATAGATAATGGATCTAACTACCGTTTGGTAGTAACACGGCCATCTGGAAACGAGGTACTGCTGTTAACCTGGCATTAATAATGGCCCGACCTTAGAGATACTTTTCACTCGACTAATACCAAATATTGTTGGCCATTGGGCAGCTAGGTTTGCAGATTCCTTCGGGATACGCGCAACACCTCGTCTTATTTGCTGCGTGACCAATCGGCCGCATCTTTCTGATTCAGGTTCTGAGAAGCTTCTCGAAAGGTTTGCTGCATCAGACACCAAGCGGATGACTTGGTCTACATCTGGCTTCTTGGGTGGGACGGGGTGGCATGAAGGGGTTAGAGATGGGTTCGTGTAAGCAACCGCTCCGGATTTTCAACAAAAAAGCCCGATGGCAGAGAATGGAATAGTCTTGAGGGTAGAGCTGTGATGATGACGAACTTCATGATGGCTTCGTTTCGATAAACATGGGGGTTGAAAGTACACCGCCAGAAAGGGAACAAGACGGCGTGAGTAGGTGGCACGACACCCTCCGTATAGATCTTAGGTGAGGTTTACAAGAGGGACTTGGTTACACCTTTTGAAATTAGTGAATGGACCGTGGATCTTTTCGGGGTTGGCTCCTCGTTACGATGCTGCTTTTAGAGGGACTTGTGTGGCTATCACGTCGTCGCTCTTTTTATACATGTACCACCCTCTCTTCAGTTTACTCGACGGTCTCCACAGTCAGTCAGAGCCAGTTCGTGTGTTTGGTTCGTGCCTGATTCCCGAAATTGCCAAGCTTTCCAGATGTGGTCTTCGAGCAATGTGGTGGTTTATTACTCGCCAGCCTGTAGGTTCCCCGAGCAGCAATTGTCTATGTTGGTTCGAGAGCCTGCCCATGAGGGGGCTCGACCCTCCCGGTACATATGTACGTTGAGTCACAAGTGGATGTACAAGTAGATGGCTCCGGATTGGAATAATGGGACACAATTGAAAAAGAATCAAGAGAATGGATGGGTTTCATTTCCATTTCTTCGCCTTAAAGAAACATTCATGGATGAATCCATTAGTTCTGGATGGAAGACTGCGACGATTTTAGAATAGATCCATTGTTTTCAAAGTTGTTTGCTCTCGTGCTCTTGGAACACACGACCTCAGCCCAGCCTAAAACAGCATCCCGGCCTCCAGCGGCGAACCTCAAGTCGAAGCGAACCACGAGACGGCACGCGGAACCAAGACTGTGGACAAAGGCAGCCCTACGAGTGAAGTGGGGGCAAGTACGACACCAAGCACGGCTGGATGTGCAGGGTTCCCAAAATGGCACCCACCCGTCAGCCCAAACCGGCCCTCCCGACCCCTGAGTTTTATGAAGGAATTTCCCCTCAATCTCGCCCAAAGGGCAATCTGACGCCCTGGTCCTCTTTTTTTACCCCGCCTTCTTCTTACCCCTCGACGTTGTCCTGACCACCCTCCAAGCCTAGAGCCGACAACAGTTCAAGCGTCACAAATTCGCCATGTCTCTGGCCGTTGACGAAAATCGCCGTCGTGGACGGTCCAAGTCCCCGGGGCGTCGCGAAGTAGAGGATCGCATGGACAGCTACCGAGAGACTGAGCAGAGACAGGACCGCGAGCGCGAGCGTGAACGCGCGTCTCGTTATTATGATGACCGTGACGACGATGACCGTGGAGCTAGGAACCGCAGGGCCGGCGCTAACAGCGACACCCGCGAGTCGAGCTACGCCTACCCCGAAGACGACCTTGACGACTTCCCCGCCGCCGCCGCGAGGACACGCGTAGAGACGATGAATACAGGTCTCCCGTAAATCCGAGAGACTCTTCCGGCGCCCTCCCCTACCCGCCCGCCGGCGGAGATTCGCGAGCCCTGACCATGCCGGGGGCCTACGACTTCAAGGATGACGACAGACCGTCTCGTTCCGAGTACCGCACCGTGTCCCCCAGCTGACTCGCCCTATCGAAGCTCCAAGGACAAGGTGGACCCTGGCCGTGATTCTCGGGTACGGTACTCCCAGTATCGGGATGAGGAAAGGCCTTCTCGAGCAGGGAAAGCCCCAGAGTTCGCCGCTGATGAACAGTTCAAGTTTCTCCTCAAAAGTACAGCAAGTCCGTCCAGAAAACCGAGCCCCCGCGACGATAGGCGCTACGAGGAACGTCGCCGCCGCCGGGACGACTCCGACTCGGAATCGGACGATAGTTATGATGATGATGACGACGACGACGATCCCAGGTCGCAGCAGCGATTCAATCGAGGATACGAAGACGCCCGTCGTCGACACGATGCCGAACAAGAAGATCGCCGTCGCCAGACGCGAGATGGCGGCGAGCCCGAGCGCCGCCACCGATTTCAGATGCGGGGTCCGTCGCCGCCCTCTGATAAGCCCAAGAAGAAGGCTCAGTTGGAGGATGACCTAGCCTATGGCAAAATGGCCGGTGAGGAACCCTCCATCCGCCAAACCGCGCAGCAGGCTGCTTCCAAGACCTTTTCCAAGACCGAGCAGGACCTGTTGTCCAAGTTTGGATACAGCGGCCATGGCTCCGGGTACCCGCCGGAAAAGAAAACGGCGAGGTTCGATCCTGCCGACGACCCGCGACGCTCGTCCTCCAATGTTTTGACCGTCGAACCGGGTGACCGGCGCCGAGGAGATCGCGACCGGTCTCCCGCGCCTCCTACCAACAAGATGTCGTCCTTGTCAGTGAGCACTGGCCATCACTCGTTTAACATGTCACTCGGGGCGGCGCCCCCTTCGCCTCTCCAAGAAGCGTACCACGGCACCTATCAGTCGTGCTCCCCCATGCCTTCTCCGCTGATGCTCCCCAACCACGGTGGAAATGAGATTATTGAAGTGACTCCTCTAAGCCTGAGTGACGAAGACGCCCGAATCAACCGACGGGCCCGTTTCCACGTCCCAGAAGTTGTCGCGGAGAAAATGGCCAAAGCCCTCAAAGGCGACCGCCGATCTCCCGACACCGAGATCCTCATCCAGATACTGCCCGGTCTCAGTCACGAGGAGGTCATGGAGCTCCGCACTCAGTACAAGACACTCGTCAAAGCTGGCTCGGAGCGCAAGGGCGTCAACGTGGCGAAGCACATCCGCTCCCGCCTCAAGGATGAAGACCCGAACCTCATGAAGGCCTGTTACGCGACCGCGCTTGGGCGATGGGAGAGCGAAGCCTACTGGGCCAATTACTGGTACCAGGGCGACAAGACGCGCCGCGAGCTCCTCATCGAGTCGCTCATGGGCCGTAGCAATGGCGAGATGCGCATGATCAAGGATGGGTTTTCGGATAAAAAGTACAATGACAGCTTGACCAAGTGCATGAAGACGGAGCTGAGGGAAGACAAATTTAAAAAGGCCGTCATTCTCGCGCTAGGGAAGAGCGTATGGAGGACGTGGATGAGTATGGTCGACCTCTCGAGGTCAACATGAGGCTCGTTAACCAGGACGTCGAGGACCTCCGACGCTCTGTTAAATCTGACAAGGGCGGCGAGACGCTCATGATTTCCATCGTGGTCTTAAGGAGCGACGCCCACTTGAGAGATCCTCAAGCTGTACTCGCAAGCTTACAAGACCAACTTTGCACGAGATGCTCTCCATAAGAGCACTAACCTTGTGGTACGTGGCGATGACCCCTTGCCGCTTTAACTCAACGGCTCGCCATAAACCCCCAACAACACCTACTCTTTGCTCCTCATCAAGGTGATTGCTGACAAAAAGTAACAATATTAGGGTGAGCTCTTGGCTCATATTCTCAACGGCGTGATCAACAAGCCTGTTCGCGATGCGCTGCTCCTGCACCACGCGCTGACGGCCTCCCGCAAGGATGACCTGCGCCGCGAGTTGCTGACCTCGCGTCTCGTCCGCTACCACTGGGATCGCCAACACATGGAGGCCGTCAAGCGCGCCTACCAGCAGCGATACGGGCGCGAACTACAGGATGCCATCAAGGACGCCACGAGCGGCGAGTGGGGCCTGTTCTGCCGTGAATTGTGCATCACCCGGATGCCCAACGACGTGAGGCGTGTCGAGAGGCTGACGGTGGAGAAACCCGATCGATCGAGGTCCAAGGATAGGTCGCGGGACCGATCCAACACCCTCGACGTCGCCAAGCCGGAGAGGGGTAAGTCGCGGGAGAGATCTCGGGACCGCTCGCGAGATCGACGCAGAGACTAGGCGGCGCCAGACACTTTTCGCAGAGATTGTACAAGTGATGGCGAGCTTTACCTGAGATTTTGAGGGGAAATGGTGCTTGCTACCACCCGTATACCCATATATGCTTGTTTCGGTATCAAAGATATATATCTATTGGTGCTCATCCTCTGTCCCGCTTCCCGTCCCGCCCTCCTCCTCGAGTGGCATGGTAGCCGTGCTGAAGCGGAGAGATTGAGCGAAGGGTTTTTGATGTAGGAGCTCACCTTGAGTGTGCTGTTTAACTATTACGGATATGTGCAACTGAGATATTTTTGTGACTTTTGATATGGTTGAGTGACCCTCCATCTACTGAAGATGGAGGATCGGGAAGCAAAGGCAGGTAGATCAACTTGCCTCCCCTCCCATCTATAAAAGCTTCTTTTTGAAGTTTCTCCCTCGACCCTCCTCTCCTGAGTAAGAGGCACGTATGTTGATGAGCCGGATCAAACTCAAGAACTATAGGTCTGGAGGGATTTGGAAATCTACGGTGGCTGGGGAGCGAGGAACAATGCAATTATTTTCTGCCTCACAATTACTTTTTGCTATCATGAAGAAATGGTCTTGCTGCGATACTAGCTTTTTCTGTATGAGAGAGACAAGGCAAGCTCGTAGCTAGATGAGAAATATTCGCATCGACTTCAAGAGACCTCGCATCCGTAGTTTAGCATTTCACAATTGATAACAGCAATGGTGCCTCGGCGGAAGAGTGGGAAACCCGCTTCTCAGTCTGTCCCTGCGACCAGAGTTGTCGATCCCCCGGTCTAGATGTTTACGGCTTGGTGATCCTCTCCGCCTGACCGGGCTCCCGCCAATTAAGCTTATGCGGTGGTCCAGTTCATGCCTTTGATTTGCATCCGGCATCGTACATGGTTTGGTACGACACGACAGGTGAAGATCGACATCTTTCCCTTTGTTTTGCGCACAACAGGCTCTCCCGCGGTGATGTTTTACTTGTATGGGCTTCAAATTCGTCTGCCATCACCTGCAAGGACCCAGCGCCCTGGGCCTGGAGTGTGTGTCTGCCCGTCCATCCAAAAGAAACAAAAGGGCTGGCTGCGGCAAGCCGAAGGTATCGGTAGGGCCGCGCCCTTGTGGAGTCAACAGGCATTCCGGCATGGGGCACGCTGTTTTTCTTTCTCCCAAGGGCCGCTGGAACAGGCTCAGGCGAACAAGCAGGTTTGATGATAAGGTGGCCTGGCCTGGGCATCCAATAGCAACACCTAAAAGGGAAATTGCACCACCGTTGGTATCCCTGATGCTCTCATTCATCGACCTGGGAAAGATGAGGGCAAGGGGCGAGGGATTGGGCGTGCCGAGACATGAGCTCATGTTCACCCCATGCACTCACCACCAGCCTCACCTGGACTGACAAAGGGGGTCGGAAGAGTGGGAAAGGGAAGCTTTCGCGGGCTGGGTGAATTGGTTCAAGTTTTGGGGGACCAGTCGAGCTGGAGTGCTGGTGACGCACATCGTATATGCCGCCCACCCTTTGACGTGGTTCCAACAGACAACGCCAGGCTCATGTCCTCGAGGGCGTTTGGGGGCTTGCCCCCCGTTCTTTGCTTCTTTTTCATGTTTTATGCATGCATTTACGACACGTGTGTGGAGCCACTGGCAGCAAACGGCGTTGTGGAAGGGCCTTCCACGGGGTAGTTTAGCGTGGGCGCAAAAGTCAGTGAAGTAATAGTGCACACTCGTAATATGCGGGCCGGCCTGGCGTCCGCCTTCATTCTGGCGGTCGTGCTCGTGCTCGTGCTCGCGGGCTCTTTTTGCCTGTTTGATGTCGAAAAATTGACTCAGGTTTCAAAAAGAGAATATTCAAGCGGTTTGCTACATTGTCTTGTAGGGCTGACATGGCGAGTCAATCTCAGTCAGTTGATCCTTTTTCTTTCTCCCCCTTTTTCTCTTTATGTCTTGTTTCGGTGGTTGAAGAAGCAACGAGACACAAACCCCGGAAAACGGGTTCCAGCCGCTGACAGATTAAAGACCCACATTAAACCTGCCACTTTGGGACGCAATCTTTGATGAAAAAAGGGCAGGGACGAGGGAGGGAGGGGGAGAGAAACTATCACTTTCCAGCCCCTTGGCATTGATTGAGGGTCGGGACTTCCGGTGTGACGCGAGGGCGGCTCGCTTCCAGTGTTTTTGTGTGGACTGCCGTCGAGGAGGAAGAAAAATACATTCCCTTGGGCCCGTATCACTCTCTGGCTCTAATAATATGTACTCGTAATGTTATTTCTGGAAGCTGGAAGCCGGGAATTTTTCTGGTCCCTCCCCGCAACCACTATCAAGCTCGTGTTTGCGGGACGCCGGTGGGAACGGCGCTACACTCACTCGACATGTACATGTGAAGGATCAATGAACACGTCAATGAGGTTGTAATAGGGCTCAATTTCCCAATGTCACTCCATCGTAATCGGTTAAGTCTTCACGTTGGCGCGTCGAATGACAGCGCCTTGAACGGGTAAAAGAACGCGATGGGTTCTGGCGCCATCGGTCGGAGAACGTGCACAACAAAAGATTCGTAATGCTCTTCACGATAGGAATGTCTGGACTCAACCATGCTCTGATACCCACTTTAGTACTTGGAGAGTACCTTGGTACAACAAATCTCCACGGACGTTTGGTGGAGAACAGAGAGGGACCGAAAAAGACAGAAGAAAAAAACAAAAGGAGAAAGAAGAAAATGGTGGGCACTGACGATTTTGCGAGCGAGGTGCGGTGTGGGAGATTGTGTAGGCTTGTACGGGGCGTCACCACTGACGCAGCTCCCGGGCAACTAGTGCAGCTGGAGTGTAGTGTTAGTGCCCAGGGCGGCGCCTTGATGGGTGGCGGATGAGGACCACGGCCTCTGGGCTGGGAGTGGTGCGGGAGGCGCTTCTGGTCACCACGGAGAGAAGGGCAAAAGGGGAATTATTACCTAAAGTTGCCTGCCAATTGGTGCGAGCAGGTTTGAGGCAGGGATAATTCGTCGATGGTGGTTGACTTCCGTCGCTTGCTCCAGCCAAACACCAAGGGTCGGAATTGGGCGCATGTTTGTCCTCGAAGGGCTCATCACGATTTGTCGATTCATCGAGTGCATCGAGTGCATTGAGTGCATCGAAGCCAAGCACAAGTACAAGTATCAATCGATTGATTGATGTGGTGTGTATGGATTATCACAGTCAGTATTCCAAGTGATAGCTGGATGTGGAGTCGTCAAGGTGGATATGAAGGCACGGCCAGGCGATAAGGAATAAGCAGGAAAAGAGCGAAAAAGAACGAAAAGGAGCGAATATGCTTGGGCCTGGGGTCGAAACTTGAGCTCTCACAAAGAGGGGAAATGAAGGTGGCCGAGCCAAGCCACGCCGGCTGGGGGTCCCGAAAACCATAGGGAACAAAGTTATCATAGGGTGGTGGGCGTCGGGTCGTGAGGCATGCGTGGGATTGGTAGCACTACTTGTAGTTGGTGTGATGGCCAAACCAAATGGCGAGACGCCTCGGCCCCTGACCAGTCTTGAGTCGCTCAAAGAAGAAAGGTGAAAGGAAAGAAGAGGAAAAAAGGATCAAGTGGCGCTCGGCCACATGTACCTTTGATTTCCCATGAGGAATCAAAGTCGCTGGCCGAACTCTTTGCAGGCCTGACAGGCAAACAGCCCTGTCCACAACATTTGAACAGTCGGTCACTCCATCCTCGGTGTGGGTTTGCCGTTGACAACCTCTCTTGGGGCGCCCTGCCAGTGCCATGAAGCGGCGACCTTGGCAAAGCGCCGAGTCGTTAGTTCATGCCCCTCAGCCTCGACCCTAGCCATGATTCAAGCATTCGCCGAGTCGCCCAAGGCGGGCCGGCATGTATTACTCGCAATTTCCCGAGGCTGGGAATAGACCAAGGTCACCAAGGTCACGAAACCCACTCGGGAGTTGGCCCACCGTCTTTCTTCTTCTGCTTCCTTTTCTTGTTCTTCTTCTTCTCCACATAGTGTACCCATATGGGGATCCCTACATATGTGAGTAATGAGAGCTATATCGGATTTTTTCTTTCTTTCTTTCCCTGCCCGACTATTTTGCGAGAGACCCGCTCAGTGTCAAGACTCGACACGAATGATTTCCTCTCTCTCGAGGGCTTGGATGGTCAACCTTGGGACGATAACGGGAGTGCGGCGCTTGTGCTTTCCCATTGACCTTAGCAGATGCTGGCGCTGGCGCTGGCGGGTTAACCCTTTGGGCGACCATCGCGAACGATGGAGGGAGTGGAAGTGGTACAGGGAATAATACATGGAGCTTGTGTTGGTTGGCGTACTTGCTGAAGTGAATCAAACAGGGGCAGGGGGAAGACTTTGGAACTTCCCGCCTGTTTCTTTCCGCACTTTTCTCTCCGTCCCCGTCATCCTCATTTCCTTCCCCCACCCTTGATCCATCCCTCGCCATTCGTCATCCGAAGGATTTGTCCAGGCACGGATAATTCTGTTCTTCTCCTTCTTCTCCGAGTTTTTGAGCGGGTACACCACATACTGAATAACAACTGTGCACACCAACTTTCAGGGGAAACAATTGCCAAAGCGTGTCGGGTGCAAACGACGTTCGTCGGACAACCAAGGATGATGAGAGTCCTCTAGCCGCTCTTTTTTGGATGCTAAAATAAGTCACAATCCTGCATCACCTCTCGTATCTCATGAATCCACCACTCCCCACATTCCAAAGCTCGCTTTCTCGGACGGATGAACCGATCTTGAAAGACGAACTCAGCAAGAAAGAGAGAGAGAGAGAGAGAGAAAGGGAAAACGGATCAAGCCAATGATACTTGTGCCATCGTGACCGAAGCAAGGTTCTCGAATATTAATGGGGCAACTTATTAGCTTGAGGTTGCTGGGTGTTCGGAAAGTGACGATGACGGCATCGATATTTATCTTGAGGCGCGGGCTTACCTCGCTCGGTTCCATTGCTCAAGCTCCGAATGCGTTGACACTACTTTGAACTTCCTTGAGACGTACCATTGCAGCGTTACTACAGTCAGTAATGTTCCGCATCGCCTCAAGCCAAGATTGGAGATTGGAAAGACGCAGGGTTGAAAAGGTCCACGACCATTCTCTTCTACTGAATAGAGATCAGGGTCACTTTGCAATTGCCTGGAAGTTGTTATAGCGAAGAATAACAAAAAAACGTACGCTCTGTATGTTCAATGTTGCTTCCCGATCCTCAGGGCAGACAGGGCGCGATTGCGCTCAGGTCCTAGCCAGGCCGGCGAATCACTTGGCTCGCAATTGTCGGGTTTCTATTGGAAGATATTCGCAGCAGGATCCATAAACCCTTGTGGGTTTGCCGATGTTCCGCTCGCGTTTGCTGACCCTCCCCTGGCCTAGCCCTCCATTTTGCATTGATCGTCTCCTCATTCAAGCATTGACGGACCACAAAAGAAAAAAAAAAAAAAGAAGAAGAAGAAAAGGGCCACTACCCCTGAAGAACAGGGGCTGCGGGGCGGACAGTGAGGTACAAAGTACAAGTACACCAAGGTTCTGACGAATTTGCTGACCCGGGCTTGTCCACAACAAGAAGCAAAGAATATCCAGGATCCGGTTGGCTGGTCCCACTGTCTCCGGCCCACCCATCCTTCTCCTGGATCCGGGAACAGAACGAAGCCCTTCAGCTGGTTCCGTGTTCTCGCAACTCAGCCTCTTCTCTTTGAGTTGCCGAGTGCCCGGTGTTCGTGATCCTGGCGATGCAATGCCCTGATGTCCCCTGTTCTTGCTTTCGTTGTCGGCGATGGGTTCAAGAGGAATCGTCGTTTTCAATGTTCGCTTTTGCACCAACTGCTCGATGGTGAAAGATAAACCACGTGGATGAGATATATAGTGTATGCATCTTCGAGGGTGAAAAGCAAGCACCTACATTCCCAGACCAGGATTTTTCAGAAGAGACCCAAGCGTCTTTCTTGTCTCAGTGATCGGCGGTCTTGCCTACTTCTTCTGCCATGAGGGAAATGGAGCCACTCAAAAACGTGCCGGAAGAATAGGCCCTATGGGAAGTATTCGGCTCTCGAGCCGGCCAACCTGGTGAGCGAGAGTCTGCTCTCAAAGTCTGTGTTAATCACGACGAGAGCCTGAAGTCTGTAGAGTCTAAGAAACGAAGTCACTAGTTGGGTCCATTGAACCAATGCCAGGGCGCTGAATTCCATTTCCTAATGTTGGAAAGTGTGACCAAAGTCGTTGCCGGCCCACGGCCCATGGCACAACGGTGGACGGCTTGGACGGCTATCCGCTCTCGCTGACGTTCCTTTGTTGATGGCAGCACTGGTTCTACAAGCGTGAAGAATGTGGCGGAAAAAATGGGGGAAGAAAGAACAAAAAGGGGGAGGGGCTAGAAAGGGGGCAAAAAAAAAAAAAAAAAAACCCCATTTTTGGAGAAGGACTAGCTCAATGAAGCCCAAGAAAAAAAGAAGAAGAAAAGAACAAGAAAACAATTGATGCGTGCAGTGAGGATACATGGATGGAGCACAGGCTCCTTGAAAAGTCGAAATTCCACTTGATGGCCCCCACCCTGGCCAATATGCGGTACCAGTCACACCTTTTACGCAGGTGCAGGGACTCGTACCACATCAAGCATAGCTGTCAGGCACCCGACCAATCTGGCGTGCTCGGTTGGCTGAGGGCGTTTGTACTCGGCTGGTAACTCAGGTTCTGGGTTTGTGCACCAACTTTGTTCTCGGGCAGCTGCTTGATTTCCAAGCTGCATGTTCCCCCACAAGAGACCCATTTTTGCCTGTCAATGCGAGGTATGCTGTCATTGCTGGTACACGAGAGGTACCAGCCGTCGTCCTCTGCGCGGCTTCCGTTGGCATGCCCCGGTTGGTTCTTTCCTCGTCTTCCAGGGGGCCCGGACGCCACGAGATTAGACAGAGGGCGCCAGCCAATCTTGTTGATGTTGGAGCCTGCGCGCTATGCGTACCCACAGCTCTTCCTTCGGGTTAACGAGTGGGTCGCTAGGGACAGAAGATTGATAGAGATATCGTCTTGGCGGTACTCTTTGCCCGAAAATTGGTGCGACAACTACCTTTTCTGGTGACCTTCCTTGAACAGGAAACTCGGGTCCACAGCCCAACTCCCAAGCTCACTAGCATTGCATGGCCAGTTTTCAGCACACGGAACCCGGCCTGGGGCTCGTATCGTTGCGTTCTGCGCCTCCCCCATTCCCCCATTGACCCTAGCATTCCGTCGCCGCCCAGTGCCACAGATGGAACGCCGACCTCCTGGCTCGCGCGTTCAGCCCAGTGGAACCCACGGCTGCCACGGGAGGGCGAGCGAGGAAACGATGCGACGTGGGTGGTGAAGGGGTATAATACTCGCCCGGTGCCAGACACCGAGCCATCCTCGCTTTTCCTTTGCTCCTCCTCCTCACTCCCACCTTCGATATCAACCCACCCCGGAGCAAACGACCTCGCCCTACGTGCGTGATCGTGCAAACATCTTGTTTGCGTCCTTTCGTTGAAAAACAACCCTCTCACTCCCGAGTTCCAAGATGAGATCCACCGATATTACCGCCGCCCTTGCGGCCCTCGCCCCGTCGCCGCGGCCTCCCGCCAAGGCATCAACGTCCACTGGGGCCAGAACGAGAATGCCAGGAGGCTCGCCACCATTTGCGAGAACAGCGCCCGGCCCGAGTTCATCACCCTCTCCGGAGCCTGCGTTGATCCCTACGCCGACCCTACCATCGACTGTGACGAGGTTCTCAGCGATGTTGCCAGCTGCCAAGCCAGGGGTGTAAAGGTTCTCGTGCAGGCCTCTTCCGACTACGAGGGTCAGGCCTCCAGACTCGCCAAGGCTTTCCCTTCCGTTGACGGTTTTGCTCTGTCCGTTAACAGCAAGCGTGGTAAGTGTGGCCTATGCATCGCCGAAACAAGACTGAACGAGCAGCATGTTAACGATAATGTTACAGGTAACCAAGAGACCATGGCCGAGATGGCGGCCGAGCTCCGCACCCTTGCCGAGGCCAACAACAAGGACATCTTCCTTGCTGCCTCTCCCGAGTGCGCTACCTCGCCCGAGTATGTGGCGGGTGCCAACCCCCTTGAGGTTGGTGCCTTCGACGCAGTTTTCCTCGAGTTCAACGAGCGCGCTTCCTGCCCCGCGGTCGAGGGAGTTCCTGCTCTTGACCTCGTCAACTACCAGATGTGGGAGGACTACGTCGTCGACTCTGCCGAGAGGACTAAGCTGTTCGTCGGCCTTGGAGGCGCTCCCAAGCTGGCTCTGCCGCCACTCTTAAGAAGATGATTGGTCAGATCATCGAGGGCAAGAAGGCTTCCGTCTTCGGCGGTATCTCCATGTGGGAAACCGACTCGGCTGATTACGATGCGAGCCGCTACAACTCTGCTGTCCGCCACGAGCTCAGGAGGCGTAGCCCTCCTGGTCCCGTTGAAGTCCAGAGGCCCGCTTACATCCAGCGTCGAGACGTGCCTGTCCAATACGTGCCGGTCGTTCCTCACCACATCCTTGTCCGTGACCTCGGTGATGCGTGCACTCCTGACACTCCCACTGCCACTCCCACGGACACTGCCACCGTCACGCCCACGGACACTCCTCAGCCACTGATGGCACTCCCTCCGCTACGGGAACCCCATCGGCCACTGATGGAACTCCTTCCGCCACCGACGGTACCCCCTCTGCCACCGGAACTCCTTCTGCTACTGACGGCACTCCTCGGCCACCGATGGTACCCCTCGGCCACCGGAACTCCTTCTGCCACCGACGGCACTCCTTCGGCCACCGACGGAACTCCCTCTGCCACTGATGGAACTCCCTCGGCCACTGACGGAACTCCCTCTGCCACCGACGGCACTCCCTCGGCCACTGACGGAACTCCCTCTGCCACTGATGGAACTCCCTCTGCCACTGATGGAACTCCCTCTGCCACTGATGGAACTCCCTCTGCCACCGACGGCACTCCTCGGCCACCGATGGTACCCCTCGGCCACTGACGGAACTCCCTCCGCTACCGATGGAACCCCTTCCGCTACCGACGGCACTCCTAGCGCCACTGACAGCCCCATCGGCACCGATAGCCCTACTGGCACCGATGGCACTCCCACTGGTACTGACAGCAACCCCACTGGCACCGACAGCCCTACTGGCACCGATGGCACTCCCACCGGTACCGATAGCAACCCCACTGGCACCGACAGCCCCACCGGCACCGATAGCCCTACCGGCACCGATGGCACTCCCACTGGTACTGACAGCAACCCCACTGGCACCGACAGCCCCACCGGCACCGATGGCACTCCCACCGGTACTGACAGCAACCCCACTGGCACCGACAGCCCTACTGGCACCGATGGCACTCCCACCGGTACTGACAGCAACCCTACTGGCACTGCCACGGATGATGATGACTGCACTGTTGAGCCCACTGCTGAGCCCACCGATGAGCCCACTGCTGAGCCTACCGATGATGATGACTGCACTGTTGAGCCTACCGATGAGCCCACTGCTGAGCCCACTGATGAGCCCACTGCTGAGCCTACCGATGATGCTACTGCCACACCTACGGATGACGACTGCACCGTTGAGCCTACCGATGACAGCACCGCTGAGCCCACTGATGATAGCACCGCCACTCCTACCGATGACGACTGCACTGTTGAGCCCACCGATGAGCCCACTGCTGAGCCCACGGATGATAGCACTGCTGAGCCTACCGATGAGCCCACTGCCACCCCTACGGATGATGACTGCACCGATGAGCCCACTGCTGAGCCCACGGATGACAGCACCGCTGAGCCTACCGCTGAGCCCACGGATGACAGCACTGCTGAGCCTACTGATGACAGCACCGCTGAACCTACTGCGGAGCCCACGGATGACAGCACTGAAACCTCCGGCCCAACTGGCGGTGAGACCTCAAGCCCCTCTCCCACCGTCACCACTCCTCCTAGGTCGACCACCAGCACTGTCTACCAGACCAAGACGTACACCATTACCTCTTGCCCTCCCGGCAAGGGCCCGTGCCACGAGGGTGAAGTGACCACCGTCACCATTCCCTGGTATACCACTGTCTGCCCTGAGGGTGAGGAGCCCACTGGTCCTCCTGCCCAGCCCACCGGCAACCCTGAACAGCCCGGCAACCCCGAGGAGCCTGAACAGCCTGGCAACCCCCAGCCTCCTAAGCCCGAGACCACTCTTTCCTTCTCCCGCACCAACGGTGGATCCGGCTGCGTCGGCGCCGACTGCCCTGCCGGCCCTACCGGACCCGGCTGTGTTGGTGCTGGCTGCCCTGCTGGCCCTACCGGCACTGGCCCTAGCGGCGCCGGCCCTACCGGCACCGGCTGCGTTGGCGCGGGATGCCCTGCCGCTCCTTCCAGCACTTCGGATAGCAGCCCCAACCCTCCCGTCATCGCGGGTGCTGCTAGCATGGGCTTCAGCCTCCTTGCTGTCGCCGCCGCTGCGGTTTTGGCTCTTTAAATAGCGAGTTAGATAAGATCAGTGGGATGTGGAGTTTCATTGATGGATGTATCTTGGATTTTCTTTTTCTTCATTTCTACTAATGATGAGGGCATTATCTGTTTCCTTGAATAAATTTTGTATAAAAGTGACCTCCCGTGTTTGTGTAGTTGTCAAATTGGCTACTGTGTTGACCTGCCTGTGTGAGTTTTGAGGGGATGAGTTCGTATGTGTGTGTCGTCGAGTTCTCATCGTTGGCGCATTATGTGTGTCAGGGTCCCACTTCACCATCAAGCCCTCCATTCCTCTGACAGGTGCTGAAGGCAGTCGGTATCAATACATCCATGGATGGCAATCTGCTGAGCGTGTCACCTTGGGTTTAGCTGAGACGAGAGTGATCAATGATGTTGCCAGGCGCTTCTCCCCTCATTACACTCTAAAATTCTGGCGCTTTCAGGTACTGGCCTCTCTGGTCGAGCCTGCGTGGTCTCGTCTCTATCACGTGATACAGTCGCTGTTTGCAGTGATCATTGATGAAGTCAGACCTTGCCCAGTCGTCATCGAAGCTCACTGGGCAACTCAGGCTGGCTCCTCCAAACTGCATTAGCGAACAGCGAGGCACACCCAACCCCCAAGTTGTTTGTACCTGAACTGTACCACACCCGTCCTTCTGCAAATAACTGTACCTGAGGGATTCCGAATTCAACATCGATGATACGACGGTAGTCCGATGAGACTCGTACAGCAATCCCATCCAATCAGACAAGTAATTGAGGGTGGATGGTAAAATGTAAAGTGCTCAGGAGCTTGGAAAACCAACCTAGCTAAACCCCAAGGACCAAGATTTTAGATCGGATGAGGTCAGTGAGGATTGATGGTCTTGGAGGGGGATGAGAGAGTACTTGCATTGGCGTAATGATCAATGATGGTGCTTTTTTCTTTGGGAAATACTGGAGCCTAGAGAACATCGACGCCCTCCTACTACATCCATAGCTTCAGTGTTCCCTCTTGGGCCTCTAAATTCGCACAATATCAATTGATCGCTCCACCGTCCTCTCAAGCTTCGAATAAACCTTTTCGAGAAACAGCCAAGAGGCCATTCATACCTAGAAACATCGAGCTAGTCTAGATATTGTCCGACCATCCATTGATTACTTCCACATCTGTCCTCCATTCGTTTGAGCGAGGCCATTTTCAATCCATCAAAACCTCTACCAAATCCACTAGATTCCATTAGTCGTGCTTCCTTCTCGAATTCTTCAAGATCTCGTCGATACTCTTCCGCAACCCACTGTCCCGAGTATGCTCATGACGTTTTTCTTTATGCCTCACTAGTTACCTTGGTCTTTTTCCCCTTCTTCCTCCTCTCCCCGTCCAGGCACTATCATCTTCCTCTCTTGTGCGAGTTTCACTGTTGCCTTCATCCTTGCCTCCCTCACCAACCCCTACCGCACCCGCCAGGCAAGGCGCTCTCTTTTACAGACTACACTATTACTAGAGCCCCAATCTCGATTCGAAGCTGACGTGCGCTGTCTCTCTTACTGAGCTTGGTATCGGTTTCCATTGGATGCAACATTGATTGGCTTGATTGGCTTGATTGGTTTTTTATTCTTATTTCTCTCTCCCTTCCTCCCTCCCCTTGATTGTATTTCAGGAAGAGTGGGAGCTACATCAATTGATCGATCGGCTCAATCACACTAGACGCAATGTCGGATGTTGAAGAACAGTTAGTGGTCCCAACCCCTCAATTCAAATCGCCCCTCTCCTTGGCCCTTCCCCTTTCCCCTCCCGCAGCGAAGAAGCTCGGTTCCAGTTCGCCCACAACATCTGGTGCACTCACTTCATTAGTTGAGCACTCTCCAGCCCAACATTGAACATTGAAAGGTTTCATTCCGGCCCCGAAACCTATCCGGCCCATGCGGCAGCTCTTCTTCCAAACTTTTAGTTCGGTTCGAATGATCTGGCTCATATTTCGATGAACTCATGCCTCACTTCGCTTCCCTCTCGCTTCCCTAATTTTGTACTTGGCAGAGAGCTGTTGTAGCTCCTCTTCGCAGCCCTTTTTCTCTTAGCTGACAACTGGCCTCTCCACCCCTTGCATAGCAACCACAAATACCTAAAATCCGCCAGCCCCTTGACTCTGCTCCGAGGCAACCATCGGGATCCTAGCGACATTCACGATCTGGCCCATAGTTCCCAGGCCCCCGTCTCTTCGTCCTCCGACCCGACACTGACCTCCAAGACCTTACCGACCATGGCCCAGCCGCCTTCGCAGGCGTCCTTGAGCCACCACAGCTCAAAACCCTCCATTTCGTCGACGACCCTTGCCCGCAGCCAATCGACCCATGCCTCACCGCCCCGGACCTCGATCGATAACAAAGCCGCGACTCTCGAGCAATCGGTGCGCAAATTCCGAATAGTTGAGGCTCTGAGAAATGGCGATACTGCTTCCATCTCGAAAGCTCTCCGCGACAACGCCGAAGGAGGCTCTCGCACTAGCATCTCGTCCATCTCGGGCATCGGAGGCGGACTTCAAGATACAACTATCCTTCACCTTGCCATCCAGTGCGCCGAGTACCCGGTTGTCGAATACATATTATCGAATGGAGCTGGCCTAATTGATATCAATGCCCGGGATAAGGACGGTAACACTCCGCTCCACATTGCCTCTGGCCAAGGCCGCACCCCGATCGTTCGACTCCTGCTGGAGCAAGAAGCCATCAACGACGCCATTGCGAATCACCAAGGACGCTTGCCCATTGACATTTCAAGAAATCCCGAAATTTTCCAGCAGCTTCAACTCGCCCGGTCCCTCTTCACCGAGGCCAAGGTTCACCAAATCCAGGAGCTCGTCAACCGTGAGGACTATGGCACGCTCAAAGAGGTCCTCGAAGAGAGCCGCCTCAAAACTGTGCTCGACATCAACAGCTCCGACTTTGTATCCGACCCAGCCACTCTTGACTCGGGCGGTACCATGCTTCATGAGGCCGCGCGGAAAAAGAACTCGAAGCTTATTCAAATCCTCCTTTTGCACGGTGCTGACCCGTTTCGGCGTGACCGAAAAGGAAAGCTTCCTCAGGACGTGACTAAAGATGACGTTACGAGGGCAATGCTGAAGCGGTCCCCGGCCGCCGTGGCAGCGCAGCGAGGGATCCAAGAGAAGGCTGTCCTCGGGCATGCGGCCTCCCAAGGGGCATCTTCTGCAACGGCTGGTGATCCGCTTGTAGGAAGAGAGGCCAGGGAGATGAAGGGCTATCTCAAAAGTGGACAAACTACCGAAAGGGTTACCAACTGAGGTGGTTCGTACTCGAAGATGGCGTCCTGAGCTACTACAAACACCAGGATGACGCAGGGTCTGCCTGCCGAGGCGCTATCAACATGCGAATCGCGCGCCTCCATATGAGTGCCGACGAAAAGACGAAATTTGAAATCATTGGCAAATCCTCCGTCAAGTACACCCTCAAGGCAAACCACGAGGTCGAGGCGAAGCGCTGGTTCTGGGCGCTGAACAATTCCATCCAGTGGACCAAGGATCAAGCCAGGGAGGAAGAACGGCAAAAGGCACGGGCCGCAGAGCTCCTGAAGCTAGCAAAGGCCGACCGTAGCGGCTCGTCCGATCTGTCAGCCCAGCACTCCACAGAGAATCTAAGCGTCTCCGAGGCGAACCGAAGCAGTGTCCAGATCAACAGGGGATCTATCTCCAAGGTAATGACTGGGGCTAGCACAATCGGTAGTATTGATGACGATGCAGAGGAGGAAGACGCTGCTACTGATGCCGGACTTTCAAGGCTCACGAGCGGCGGTCCGCTTATTCCAGGAGACCTAGATGATGATGATGATGACGACGAAGACGCTAGCCGCCGCAACAGCGCCGCCGCTGCCTCAAAGGATGCGCTAAATATCACAGCGCAGTCCGCCAGAATCCAGCTGGAGACCATCTCTGCCGTCAATGCTTCCCTCATGGCCACAGCGGCTAAGAACCCCCAGTTGCCGATTAGTGACCCTGCCGTCTCCCAGGCCCTCTCCACCTATGATGGGGCCATCAGGACGCTAACCGAGCTAGTGGGTAGTCTACTAAAGATTTCGAAAGATCGCGACTCCTTCTGGCAGTACCGGTTCGACCGGGAAGTGCACCTGAGGCGAATGTGGGAGGAGAGCATGGCCAAGGTGGCGCGGGAGCAAGAAGCCTTGGAGGCCAAGTTTGGAGAGGCTGAAATGAAGCGTAGACTCACTAAGAAGGCCCTTAGAGAGGCCATGATTGGTGGGACGGAAGCCGTTGAGGATGAAGGACCCGAAGAAGACGCCTTTGAGGACGCCGGCGACGGCGGCTCCTCAAGTCTCCTACGAGGTCGATCAAGCGCCGCCAGACTGCCCTTGAGCAGATTGCCCAGATGTCGGATAGCTCATCCGATAACGACGAAGAGTTTTCGACGCCGTCGACGCCGGTGAGGTTGAGGTCACAGAGCTGCCTCATGCTGATTCCGAAATAGAAAAGTCGGTTGTCGTGTCTGGAGGTATCGATATCAGCTCCTCCTTTAAGGGATACGAGAACGGCATCAGAAAGCGACTGAAGATGGATGCTGATGACAGGCCCAAAATTTCTCTATGGGTAAGACGGCCTACCTCCCCGCCATCTCTAATCCTGCCTCCCGCCCCAAGCTGGTCTTCATGGAATTTCTTTTTCTTCTTTTGCCTGATGCACTACTCACGCGGTTCTAGGGCATTCTCAAATCCATGATCGGCAAGGACATGACCAAGATGACGTTGCCGGTATCCTTCAACGAACCCACCTCCTTGCTGTATCGATGCGGCGAAGACATGGAATACGCGGACTTGCTCGACCTTGCCGCGGAGCGATCTGATTCCATAGAACGACTCCTTTACGTCTCCGCCTTTGCTGCTAGCGAGTACGCATCCACTATTGGGAGGGTAGCAAAGCCCTTTAACCCTCTCCTTGGTGAAACCTTTGAGTACGTGCGTCCAGACAAAAATTACCGGTTCTTCATTGAGCAAGTCAGCCATCACCCACCGGTGGGAGCAGCCTGGGCAGAGTCCCCGAACTGGTCCTATTACGGAGAGTCGGCGGTCAAATCCAAGTTCTACGGCAAGTCATTCGACATCAACCCCTTGGGGACGTGGTTCCTCAAGCTCCGACCGCTCTCGGGGGCAAGGAGGACCTCTACACGTGGAAAAAGGTGACTTCTTCTGTCATCGGTATCATCACGGGTAACCCCACGGTCGACAATTACGGACCCATGGAGGTCAAGAACTGGACAACCGGTGAAATCTGCTATATTGACTTTAAGCCCCGTGGATGGAAGGCGTCGAGCGCCTACCAAATTTCTGGCAAGATTGTCGATGCCAGTGGCCACGTTTGCTTTAGTCTAGGTGGACGGTGGAACTCAAAACTGTATGCCCGTCGTACGCCTGGATACGAGGCCAAGGTGGATGAGCCCGCAGACAATGCTTCGACGCACCGGGGTAGTCTGAGCGACCCAAGCAGCGCTTTCCTAATTTGGAAGGCGAATCCACGCCCCAGCGGCATCCCCTTCAATTTGACGCCCTTTGTGTTGACGTTCAACCACATCGATGACAATCTCCGTAAATGGATAGCGCCTACCGATTCTCGTCTCCGGCCGGACCAACGTGCCATGGAAGACGGCGAGTACGATCTCGCGGCAACGGAGAAGAACCGTCTCGAAGAAGCGCAGCGTGCCAGGCGCCGGATCCGGGAGTCGCAAGGCGAAGAATTCGTTCCGGCCTGGTTCACCAAAGCCCGGTGCGAAATTACTGGTGAGGAGTATTGGAAGTTCAACGGCGAGTACTGGGAAAGGAGAGCCAAGTTCGGCGAGGGCGACGAGACGGCTTGGGATGGATTAGAACCCGTCTTCGAAGATTGCAATGCCAGCGCGCCGCCTCGACGTGCTACCACGATGAGCATGGCGTAAAGGGTGGCTACATCTACGAGGGAATAAGTCACCGCATGAACAATGAGTTGATTCTCCCTTTGACCTGTCTCCTCCCCTCTTTTTTTGTTGGCTTTGGAAAGGACTTGTTTGCGGGACATGCCAGGCAGATTTTGAATGGGGATAGCACCCATCCATAGATGTGAAGAATGCAGACTAATAGATGAATGGGGACGACGACAATGATGACGATGACAAAATGTACTACAGCGCAACGGCGGCACCCAACCAAGATCATTGGAAAGGGATAATGAAGATGCCTCTTTAGTTCTATATGCCGATTCCGAGCCCGTGAGAGCCTCGTCTCATACAGAGCATGGTTAAAAAGCACTTGCAAGCTGGGCGGCCAACAGACAAGACAACTGCTTGACTTCTTTGGTGAAAAGCAGCTGTCCCAATGACATGACCCTCTTCCTCTCATCAACATCAACGGCACCCCTCGCTTGCCCCCAACACACATACTGTCCCCCCGCGCTCTCTCTCTCCATATCTCCCCCTCGTCTTTAATGCTAGCCTGTGTTCTGTGATGGACGGGGCGTCTCAACGTGACCGCGCGACGGCCATCTTTTCAGGTGCCACGGCACGAGAGTGATAGGGAAGTGCACATACGCCTGTTCCGCTCAAAGAAGAAAAGAAACCGGCACAAAAGGGAAATGAGAGGGGACAGGTCTGCTATACGTACGCATGATATTTGTGCCCAGACGTGATGATCAATTTCAAATTCGATTATCACCGCAGGAGGTGTCGCCGAGAGAGCCGTCAAGTGCCTCTCCAGGCCCACTTTGGGTGTGTGTAAATGATTGATCAAAGATAGAGCGGCTGGCCACTATTATCCGCGACCTTGCTGATGTCATTACCAAATGTGCTGGCTTGTGTCAGTGACAGAGTTCCCAGAACAGGCCGAGCCTCGGCAATTGCGGTCGTGACAGTGGAGCTCGTTGACTAATAACTGGTTGGTGGGAAAGCAACGCCCAGGGCACCGTAGCTGGCTCAATTTGCCGATGGCGACTTGATCCAGATCACACTGGCGGCGAAATCGCCAACGAACAACACCCATGCAGCCCCATATCCACAGCCAACTAGGCCTATGCCATTTGGAGACAAGCCCTCCATTATCAATATTCTTCCCGTGATTGAGCAGCCACCGGCCCTTCTCTTGACATCCACCCACCTCTGCCTACTGTACCGGCTCAGACGTGATTTAAAGCATCTGTGAGGCTTCCCCTTTTATTAGACTCGGCCTGGACTCGGTACCTGGAACCCTCCTCTCCGTCGGCGCCTCCCATTCTCCCGAGGAGCCACCACTGACCGAGCCAAGTACATAGACGACGCGGTCTGCTACTCGATTTGCTCCTCCATTGTCGCCCACCACAGTCAATTTCAAGTCTTGTACAGTCGGCGCTTCCCCTTTCCTCTGCTACATGCGTATGCGTTGATAGCCAGGTACACGCAACAGCTACTTTTCAGCCTTTTCGTCATTCATCGTTTACCCTAGTGCTTAGCCACCTATTGGGTCGTACAAACTCTATCACGGAGACAACTAGACCAGGGAACAGAAAAAAGCGTGATCCTCGTGGTGCCCTTCAAGTTCCAAGCTTTTTCAATTCTTGTGGTACACCAGCCTCATTCATTCTATCCTTGCGCGCGCATTCAGGAGCCATAGGCTTCTCGTCTTCGACCACGCACAGCCTTTCATAGGTGAAGGAACAAAATCCAACAACCACCGCTTCTTGCACATTTTACGCTCGCAAAGATGGACGGAAGTGGCCGAACTACTCTTCTGCGCCCCCGGCCCGATGACCCGAACAAGGCTCCATTGGAGAATGCGCTCGAGATCATAGAGTTAGGCGTTCTCGGTCCCGTAAGTAAATGCCAGCCACAGTCTCTGCTCATACTCTATCCTCTACCATGAGGACAGGACACCTCTTGGTCCCTATCCGTCTCACCTACTCTGTCCGAACCTTGTATGCTGAACCTTTTCGAACTAGGACATCTTTACGAATGCGCGCCAGGGTTGGCACCCTCCCGGCGCCCGGGGAATCTTTGGCGGTGTTCCTATCGCTCAGACGATTGCGGCGGGCCAGCGCACTGTTGGCGAGGGTTTTGTGATTCATTCCTGCCACTGCTACTTCCTGCTTGCGGGATCGAACAGCATCCCCATCATGTACCATGTCGAGCGGGTGCGCGACGGACGAAGCTTTGCCACCCGCACGGTACAGGCGAGGCAGCGTGGCAAGTGCATCTTCACGTCCACCATTAGCTTTGTCAAGGCTGGCTCGGGCGGAAAGAAGCAGATTAGGCACGCGGTGGACATGGGCAACGAAAAGCCCCATGGCCCCGTCGAGGCGACGGATGTCATTGAATGGAAGGGCGTCGAGGTCACGGAGGAGGGTGCGGCGCCCCACAAGAGGAAGTGCAAGCAGTGGATGAAGGTCAAGGGCAAGGTCACCGGCGGCCAAGATGCGCACATTGAAGCGCTCGCTTACCTCACGGACTCGTACTTCCTCGGCACGATACCCAGGATCCACGACCTATACAAGCCGCCTTCGCCATCGTCGCCGTCCGAGTTTGAAGGCGGCGAGTCTGCGGGAGGCACCCATCCGGCCGCGAGGCACGTCCCCGTCTCTGACAAGCCCAAGATCGGCATGATGGTCTCCCTAGACCACAGCATCTACTTTCACGAGCCCTCCGCTATCAGGGCGGACGACTGGATGTACGCCGAGATGGAGAGTCCATGGGCCGGCGACGGAAGGGGTGTGGTGACGCAGCGAGTATTCTCTGCTGACGGTACCCTTCTCGCGACATGTGTCCAGGAGGGACTCCTCCGGCTGAAGCAGGATGAGCCCGTGCAGGATGGCAAGGACAAGTCGAAGCTGTAGAGATAGCGAACGTGGATGGAGATGCTGCCAAAGAGAGAGAGAGAGAGAGAAGGGGAGAAAGACGGACAGACGTTGGCGTATATAGATAGTTTCCTCTTTTCCTTTTTCCTTTGTCCCTTGTCCTTTGTTACGACTTGGGGGATTCCTTTAGCGGGATGAGACTGTACTTCTCCTTTCTCTCTTTTATCCTTTCTCCGCGGAAAACCGCCTCGTGGAAGAGGCGGCGAGAGCGAGAGCGAGTCTTCAACGACGTAGCTCTTGAGTCGACTAACCCGCTGGTGTTTGATGTTCCTCTTGCTTAGTATATCATAAATAGAGATCATAAATAGAAGTGAAGAACAATAGTACTTTATCCGCGACTTGCCCGTGCAAGGTCAGTGTGGAAGTGACTAGTACTGCATAGAGACTGCACTCGACCTCCACTCCATTGATCTATTGCATCAATTGATCTATGTAACCATGACGGTTGAGTCCAATTGAACGATGGACATTGAGTTGGGTGCTCAATTGATCCTTCCGTGGATGAGTAGCAGGGCCTTTGCCGAGTCTCCTTTTGCCCTGCGCCCGAACTGCGACCCTCCCCGGCCGTGCCTCGCCGTGAAGGGAAAGAGGAACCGGCAACCCCACTCTTCTCTCACAGCACAGCAGTTTCAAACCTCCGAGCCGCCTCGGAGACTTACAAGTACGAAGTACCACCAATTCGTGTGTCTCTCCTTCTCAATGCAGACATATTCCCCTCTGATTCGACGACTCGGTTCAAACAACTCTTGAACATAATCGTACGGTTACGACCGAGCGGCACAAAAGGAGCAAACGGCAATTCGGCATTCAGGTATTCAACAGGGAACAAAGAGGGCGCGGGCGCATCTCTTCCAAATGCATATTGCGCTGAATCCTCGACCGGCCATCCTTGAACAGTACAGTCACCTTTTTTCGTTATTCCCCTTTCCTTTCTTTTTCGGAGAGCTAAAACGAGCTCGTGAGGCTGATGGCCTTGATCTAGCTATGCTGCCGTTGTGTGTGGGATTAAACGCCATGGCGTTCGAGATTATCCCCCGGTCTGGAACGTGACTGAAGTCGTGCGTGAAGCACGGGGCTCAAGGTTGCGACAGCTTCACTTCGAGGTCGAGAGCCATTTCGTGGAAACAAGCGCAATCAATTTGTAGGGATTCCCTTGTTGGCTAGGGCCTGGCTGTTGATATATGGAATTATTCATAATACCTATGAGGCCAAGCAGATTTATTCTTTGAAGCCAGTGGCACATCCTTTGGTCTCGGCAACCCAGATTATGCCTCCTTTTTCCCATGGTCACGATCGCCCGCCCCATGGCCCCCTGTAGGACGACCACGATTGCCCGAAAAGATGCGAAGAGAGGGAGATCTTGGAAGCTTTGTGGACAACAAAAGAAGTAATCATGGTATGCGCTCCCACTCCTTCCCGTCGGGTTCCCTTGTTGAAAATCGGTCTCGGATCGCCCTCGACCCCACACTCGCCGTTGGGTTCGCTTGTCGCGTCAGACATGAAGTGTTTCGATGCCGCCAGGTCCTTTTGCCCTGGTGCTGGCCCTGCCAGGCCTCTTGTCTCAGATCACCTCAATTGAACCTCCCAAGGGGCTGTGGAGGGGAACAGCAGCACCACCCGCACAGACGGCGAGGGCCTGGCCAGCTCTCCATTGCAGCGCATGGTGCTTCTCGCTGGCTCACCCCATTCTCGACCCCCTTTGTGCCGCCCCTGGCCTAGAATAGTAAGACGTGGGCGAAAGAAGTAGTTGCCATGATAATAAAGTGAGCTGTTTGGAACATCTCGTCGTGATTTCTCCCTTTTTTTTTTCTTTCTTTCCCTTTCCTTTACCACGCCCCTTTCTATTCTTTTCTTTTCCATTATTCCATTTACCGTGGAATTATTCTTGCGGAAAGGATGTTGACCGTCCGCCCGTCTCTTTCTGCCCTGGTGGCACTTTTCTTTGCCCTTTCCGTCTTGTTCGGAGCAGCTGTCGAGGGTGCGCCCCAGCGCCAGAGGAACAGAAACGGCGGAAACAGGAACGGCGGAAATCGGAATAATAACGGCAACGGGAATGGCGCAACTGAACTGACCTCGCAAGAGCGCGCAGCTCAAATCCCCGACGGCATTTCGGAGGCGACTGACGGCTCTACGATCCTTGACCAGACGGTCACGGTCAAGTAAGTCCGAATCAACTCATCCCGTGCGCCGGGGAATGCATACATGCGCAGATTCAACTAACAGTCAATTTCTTTTTCTTTGTGCTATAGTGGCCTCGATCTCCGCTTCAAGATCAGCGGCCCCGCCAACCAATTCACCACCGCTTCCGGTGTCGACGGTGGCGCTCAAGCCCCGGGCACCCAGGGTACTCTCGGCCTCAACGTCCTCCTGCACGGAGACGGAGGCCAATCCTTCTTCGACTTCCCCAACCAAGCCATCCAGCAGAACTTGGCCGGAGTGGTCGTCCTTGCCCCGGACCCGAACCTATTCTGGGGCGGCGGCTCCGGTCTGGACCGCACCAACGGCGTGGCGCACGCCCAGGCCGTCAACGACCTCATCCTCGAAGTCCTCCCCCAGGTCATGGCTTTCGACCCTTCCAACGTCTTCTTCACCGGTGTCTCGGGAGGCGCGCTCCTCCTCTCGGGTTTCTTCATCCCCCAGCACATGGCGAACTTCCCCGGCACCGGTGTCCTGCTCAACTGCGCCGCCATGGCGCCCCAGGTCAATTTCGTCAACGGCAACGCCGTCGCCCAATCGACCCGCATCCACTTCCAGAGCACCACCAACGAGCTCGAGCTCTTGCAGGGATCCATTCCCGAGTCCATCGTCGCCTACGAGCAGTTGGCCGTCGACGCCGGCCTGAGCAACGCCCAGATCAACGCCCTGCAGACCGTCGACAACTCGCCCAACGGCGGGCACTGCGAGTTCGACGAGCAGGGCTTCGTCAGCGGCATCCAGCTCATGGCGGATAACTTCGCCACCATCATGCAAGGGGCAACGGCAACGTCCGCGGCATTGGAAACGTGCTGAACGGCGTTGTCGGGAACGAGAATCTGGTCTTTGCCGCTTGAAACTAGGGCGCGGGCCGACTCGTAAAAAAAAAAGTTGATATAATGGGAGAGAGCTTGGAAAAGAGATTCCTTCCGTCTCGTTTATGTACTGTATAAATGCGATCAAGCACATATGCTGGCAGACGCTAGCTTGTCATCTAGGAATAGACGGCCACAATGCACAAACATGAAGAAAAAAAGAGAAAAGAAAAAAGGCCTTTGTGACACCCGTCAAGGTGAACATGAATATGATGAAGGTCCCTCTTCAGTGAAACAGTGCACTTGATGATGTTGTTTGTAGAAGACGCATTTCTAAGGTGCCACAAGATATTCACAATCAAAAATTCTATACCCCTCCTGATTTATCTGAGATAAAAAAAAGTTTGATATTGTTTGCACCAAAGGCGTATCGAAAAAGCATAGACAAGGTGCTTGAATGGCTAACTGATCTAGATATTGAGTCCCCTCCATCCTCTGCGAAAGCAGGCCAAAAAATGACTAAAAAACAAACCAGCCTACTTTTTTCTTCGATTTTCTCCTCCTACAACTTGGCACCCTGAGCCCTCCTGGCCTCCTTCTCCTTATCCCTCAGCATTCTCCTCAAGATCTTACCGCTAGGGCTCTTGGGAATGACGTCGATGAATTCGACGCCGCCCTTGAGCCACTTGTGCCTAGCCTTGTGTTCCTCGACATACTTGGCAATGTTTTTGGCCAGCTCTTCGTCAGATTGGCCCTGGGCACCACTGCCCTTGACAACAAAGGCCTTGGGCACCTCGCCGGCGCGCTCGTCCGGAACTTGGATGACGGCGCAGTCGGAAACGAGGGGGCTGGTGAGGAGATGGGCCTCGAGCTCCGCAGGGGCAACTTGGTGGCCCTTGACCTTGATAAGCTCCTTGATACGGTCAACGATGACGAGGTGCTCGTTGCCGGAAGGGGCGAGGCGCATGACGACCTCGTCACCGGTCCTGATCCATCTGCCGTCTTCGTGGTGGACAAAAGTCTCCGAGTTGGCCTTCTCGTTGTTGAGGTAGCCCAGGACAACCGACGGGCTCTGGATGTACAACTCTCCGGGGGTATCGTACTTGGTGACCTCGTTGCCCTCGAAATCAATGAGCTTGGCGGCGGCGCCGGGAACCAGCGATCCAGAGGTTCCGGCTAGGGGTCGGCCTCGCTTGTTGTGGCGACGGCGGTGGAGGTTTCCGTCATACCATAGCCCTGGCAGATGCGCCAGTGGGGCCAGATCTTCAGAACCTCGTCGATGGTTTCGCTGCCGAGGGGAGCGGCACCACTGTAGAGGACGCGGAGGGAAGAGACGTCGTACTTGGAGATGAGGGCCTGGTTGCGGAGGAGGGCGATGATGATGGGGGCACCTGCGAAAGGCGCGTGTTAGAACAGGAGACGGCTGGTACAAATTGAGTTTCTGAACCGGGGCGGACTTACAATGCACATTTGCTGGATCTTGTGCGTCTGGACGGCATTGAGAAGCGCGGGGAGCTCGAACTTTGGGAGAACGATAACGCCATCTCCCTGTAAGTGCCGACGTGGCATACCACGACGAGAGCGTAGATGTGGCTGAAGGGAAGCAGTCCGAGGGTGACTTGGGTGTCGACCTTGCTCTTCTTGCGGGCCACGCTCTCATAGGTGGAGACTTGGAGGACGTTGGCAATAACATTGACGTGGGAGATCATGACGGCTTTCTACATTTAATTTCATCGGGGGCCAGGTGGCCAAACATGGTTAGCTGACGGCTCACAAAGGGCTCGGAATCCAGACGCCGCAGGGGGACGCGGGGTGGAGGGGCTGGAGGGGGCCGATCACTTACGGGCAAACCGGAGGTGCCGCTCGAGTAGCACAAGTAGGCAGGTTGCCTCGCGCCCTGGCCCTTGTTCCACTTCAGGGGTTCGAGCTCGGGGAGCTTTTGGCCCTCACGGACCAAGTCGTCGGCGGTGACGAACCCGTCGACCTTGGCTCCGGCAACCTCGAGGATGAAGATCTTGTCGCGGGCGAGACCGGCGGCATCAGCAGCCTTGAGAGCATTCTCAAGAAGGGGCGCGCAGGTGAAGAGGGCACGGGCGCCGGAAGATTTGAGCTGGTGCTCAAGCTCCGCGGCGGAATACGCGGCGCTGGCCGGTGTGACTATACCAGATAGGCGGTGGACCGCATGGCTGACGGGAACGTAATCGATCTAGAAAGGGCGATCGTATGGTTAGCACACATAGTCATAGTGACTAGTTTACCAGAGGATTTCAAGGGCCAAGGTTGTGCAGAAGAAATATAGGCCTAGACAAAAGGGAAAAAAAAAAAGAAAAAGGAAGGTTGATTGCAAACGTACAGTGTTGACGGCATATACAGCGACAACCTTGTCCCAAGGCGTGTCTTCGTTGGGGGAGATGCCGAGGTGCTTGGCGATGGCGCGCGACAAAAATGTGGTGCGCTGCTTGGCCTCCTGAGCTGTGTAGGTCTTGCCAGTAAGACCGCAGGTATAGGGGTTGACCGAGGCATTGAGAGGCTTGCGACCATAACGCTCATCGCTCATAAACTGCTCTAAAGTGATGGAGTCGGGAATAGCTGCACGGAGACACACACGCGAGCACGCGCGCCAGTGTCTTGTTAGCAAAACCCAACCCACGATGAGTGTGCTTTGAGTGCGGATATGTTCACGAACCTGGGAGCTGGGGAACCCAGGAGGGCGGGAAGAAAACCATGTTGGCGAAGGTGGGGAGAAGGGAGAAGGGAGAAGGGGGGAGGAATGGAAGTGATGGTATCGCAAGACAAGATTTAGCAGCGTAGGCACCTCGCCGGATGGTGAGCAAACAGAGGAAAAGAAACGCGACAAGGGAAAATGGTGGACGAGGTTGAGAGCGTGAGAGGGGAGTGAATGGCGGCACGCAAGGGTCGTCTGGCAGCAGGTCCTAGTATTAAATCCATCCGCTCTGTCGTCTCGACCAACGCACTAGTCGCAATGGAGTTGTCAACGTCACTGTTCCGAGGCACAGCTTGGTAGCGCAACCCCACACCGAGCAGGCCGGCCGGAAGCTTGTCGAGCAGATTGGCAGAGCATTTCTGGGGGTCGATCCTCCCATCGCCCCCGCAGGACAATACCCCACAGTCGACGCGGAAGCTTGAAGCGTACATGCAAGAATAGTCGAATAGTAGCGACGGTGTTTGGAGCAAGGTCCTCGGCTCCTAGGCTCGGGATTCGGTAATCCAGGTCGAGCTTAAACGCCCCCAATCATCGAACCCCCTTTTGCTGAACAAGATCCATTAATTACTGGGGACTGGTCAGCTCAACCAGGCTTAGTGGAGGCGGACAACGAACGAACATTCAATGGATCCATACTATCCAACGTCTCTCCGTCTCCTTCCCCTCTCCCCCTTCTCCCCATTTCCCGCATCTCCCTATCCGACATATCCTTTTGAAATTGATATTATTGGTCTCTTGTGTGACTTGTGTGGAGATTTCCGAACTGGTTCAAGTAACCCGACGTCGGCGACAACTCCAACTGTTTGGAGATCTTTGGGGAACTCGATGTAATAAAATAAAAAATTAGGAGGGGGTCTAGCAGAGACAGACCAGGATACCCCGAATCGGATAGCCATCAATTCGAATCCGGTGCACCACACCCTGCTTTTTGGCCACGCGAGCATTACCGACCTCGGGGAAATCTAACCCAAAAACAGAAGAAGGCAAGAAAGGGTACATGAACCAAATTGGAAAAGAAAAGCAAAGTTGATCTATCTCTACGATTGTGGCTTGGATTTCAAAACGGAAGGTACGAAGTAGCTGTGCTCGTCTTTCGATGTTGGTGGCGAGCGTGGGGGCTTTCTTTCTTTTCAAGGGCCAAGTTCCTGAGTCTCGAAGCTATATCAATTTCAGATTGCATGTCAAGCAAATAACAAAGTTTGTTTCTATGAGTATCTGTATTGATGACTTGGAAGTTGTGGCATAAAGGGATTGACTCAAGGTTAACTTGTTGATGCAAACTTAGTCTTGATCAATCCATCAGTCTATAGATCTGCAGATGTGTATTCATCCATCCATTAGATTCATCTAATATCTCATCTAATACCTGAAATGGAAGAGGAAGGTGTGCTTGACTTTATTCCTCGTTATCCCTCTAGTATATGCCTTCTAAGAAAGAGCAGCCCCCACCATCTACAGTATCATTGAAAACTACCTATTCAAAGTAAAATATCCCTCGTTCCTTTCTCTTATGATAGTTCTTTTGGTGAGTTTGCCTAGCTATATATATCTCTCTCGAGTTGGTCGTTCTCCTAGCCCTTTTCTTTCTCCCCTTCTCCCTTTCTTCGTGATACCCCCAATCTCCTGCGAAGCGCTCAAGAAGATAAGGAAAACGAGAACTTCAGGTATGGCGCTCAACATCATCATCATCATTCCACATCTTTCGAGGTCGAGATAGGTATTCTACCTCGAAGGCTCATCCCAACCCCTGCCTTTTATAGCTCCTCCCTATACCACCTTTCACCAGCACGTAATGGTTGATGGCATCGCCAGTATTGTTCCTGCACAATCAGCTATATGTAGCGTCCTAACAAATCTCCCGTCTGAACCTGAGCTATGCCTGATACTACATTTTCACGCCTGCGGAAGTATACTAATACGTCAGCTCTACACTAGGCAGCGTATTCACAAGAGGGCTACCTTATATATCAGGGAAATTATAGCTAAATAATGCCTAAAGGCATCAAAAGAGCGAGAAGCTCTTTGGAGGCTGAGGGGTCGGGGGCGCCTTGCAAAAGCGCCTGAAAACTGACAAAGATATTGAGGGCTGCCAGCAGCCTAGCTCCCCGAGCTTCCAAAAGCCACGGGGTGCCGCCTGTCTGGGCCGACAAGAGGCAAAGTCTTTGCAGTGCATTGCCGTATTATAAAGGATATCAATCTGGGGGCTATACCTCTAATGGGGTCCTCTTGGGGAGTCTCCTCGACGGATTTCCCGCTGTAAGAGATGTGGTTGATCCAGAAGGAGTTATAATCATGAACGTGTAAGTAACATCACTCGTAAGCGCTCGGTTGGGTCAACTTTTGGCTAAAAAAGGCTACAGCGGTGGAGGTCGAGACGTTGTTGGCAACGACGTTTCGAGTTCAAGAGGGCGATTGCGGGACCAGGGTCGGCCTGTTATGCTCGTGGGCTGCATTGCTGCACAGGCGATAAACCAGTATATAGCCATCATTGTTGGTAAGTTGAGCCACAAAAAAGGTAGCCAGCTAGGGCGCGCCAAATCTAACAACGGGCTTTAGGCGAATCGAGTCCGCTCATGCCAACAAGAATGCCGCATGCCTACAACGTCCTTGACTGGTATTTTATCACCGATATTTGGGCCGAGAGGGACGAAAACGGTTTCAAGTATTGGAAAATTCGGCTTCAGGTTGCCGACCTGGAGAAGAGCCCTTGGTGGTCCCCGCCGGTTCGGATGGGCTGTTAAAGCCTGGCCCGGGTGACTATGTTGCCCCAGCTTGTGTTTGCGAAGGCTGTGGGCAGATTTCCAAGCAGATCTTTGTCCAGAAATGGTTCTGTTTGAACTACGACTGCTCGAGCTTTTTCGAGCTTGGCGAGGTTAAGTTTTCCGAGCTTCAATACTCGACCGAATTCTTGAGGGAGAGGGTTCTATATAGCGGCAAGGAACCCGCCAGCCCAAGAGGAGAAAGGGAGTTCCCTCCCGGCCTTGTTCCGGCGATACCAACTCTCTCGGAGGGAGAGGCGGGCACTGAAAAGCATTTTAAGCAAGGATTGGTCTGTCCACAGTGCTTCGGATGCTCTTCTCGAAGTCATTGGGCTGGGTGGTTTTGCGAAAATGGCGAGTGCGGGTTCCACCTCGAGAGTGCAATGAGGCCAATCCCAATCTCGTCTATTGATAGTCACGCCATCAGAAATAAGTTTGGGGATCGTCGCACTATCGTCCACAAAGGCATGGCGAAAATGTCCAAGACGTTTACCGCCGAAGGATACGAAGTCACGATTACTCCCCTTCTTGACCTACTTAATGACCGCGTGGATGCCAAGGGGGTAGTGGGGGTACTGGCGCACTTTCGCCCATCTGCGGAGACGAGGGCCGCCCTGAATGGTCCAGATGATGGCTTCAAACTCCTCCACGAGCACGCAAAGAGAGACGACTGGATGCGGCTCCCAGTGAGGCACAAGGGGAGTAAGTACACCAGCCCCAGCGATCTAAACGGCTCAAGAACAAGATGGGAGAGGGCGGATACTAAGATGTCTTTAGGAAAAAGCGAGATTCTCACAAGCCATTTTGTTCAGAACTATGGCGCCCCGTACAAGTACGTCGTCTCCGTAGCCTCCAAGAGTTTTGAAAATGCCCCAGATGTCATCCTTCGAGCGCTTTTGAGGATGACATGGGCGGGCAGACAAGTGATGGAGGGTGCGAGTAAGTCGATAAAGGCACTGGAGGGTGATGGAAAGATCAAAGTGGCCCAGCCACTGGGATTTGACTTTGTCGAGTTTAACGAGCTCCTCGCCCTCGGCTATTTTGAGGACGATAAAATAAGTGCAAGTCATCTCCGCCTTTGCCCCTTCGTAACGATTGCCCTTCCTTGCTAACGCTGAGAAGTGGCATGATGACGGGGAAGATACGTTGGGGCCTACGGTGGCTACACTGTCCCTCGGCTCGCCGTCAACCATGTCATTCAGGCCCAAACTGAAAGGCAAAGACAAAAAGGGCAATACCTCGGTCTTGGATCTACGTCTCCTGCACGGGGACATTGTGGTCATGCACGGGACCGACATTCACCGGTGCTACGAGGTAGGGCCCAAGTCCACTGTATACATATTCTCAAGCTCGGGCCTAACCGCTGTTTAAATTGTAGCATCGCGTCGTCCCCCACGGAAAGCGTCGGTTTGCGTTGACGAGTCGTCATATCAGTCTTGACAAGCTCGATTCAGATCAAGACCGGAAACTTGCCTGTGAGCTTGGGGCTATTCCAGAGAGGGCGCTTCAGCCCGATTATTTCCCCATCTGCCAGGTGTAGCCTGACGTTGATACAACAAAAGGTGCTCCTGAGGCGCGTCAAATTTTGAAATTCGGTTCTTCGATCTAGATCTATAGGCGGAACCCCATCTGCATGAGTGGCGCAGTAATATTTGATAGCAAGCCTATGTCCTGGTTTTCTCCAGCTTACGGGACTGCTTCTTTCTTTCCTAGTTTAAGAGTTTAAGGTCACAGGTATTTGGGTCGGGTATTCGGCTGGGACAAGCATGCGGACGAGCTAACGGTGATGGGGGTTTTTTCTTTTTTGGGCCTCAATCTCTTTTTTCTTTCTATTTTTCCTTCTTTCTTCTCTTGATACCCATAAATATGAAGCCAAAGGGCACTTCATTCGTCTTTAGGGACCCACGGGGTGGGGAGGCTGGTGAATTGGGTGGCGGTTCACGGGTTGGGCGTAACGTAGGCAAAGGAAACGTAGGCGGAGCACGAAGGGTGACGGCGGCCGTAGCGAGGAGGATACGACGCGCGGACCCATGATTATTCGTTTATTAAAGACGTAAATACATATCTATAAATGACACGCCAGGAGCCGATGCAAATCATCGTTCACTAGGAGTTATAATGCGAGCGTATATGCTCAAAAGGGGGTATCACCTGCTGGTTCAGCCAAATGCGGAGGCTCACCCACTTCTCCATCTACCTCAGCGCTAATACTGCCGCACCCATGCCGGCAGCAAACAGGATCCAAAGATTGAGAGCGCCATAGCGGCCCCCAGCGGCATCCTCGTCATCGGGATCAGACGAGCTGGTCTCGAGAGGGAGGAAGGTCTGGGTGGTGAGCATGCCGGGTGTGCACTCAGTATCGATGGTGGGGCAGGACGTGATGGTGAAGGTGGTTGTGAAGGCGCCCGTGGGCAAAGGCGTGGCACCGTCTCCGGCACCCGTCTGCAAGTGGTGGAAGTTGCGTTAGCACTTGATACAGGAAGGGCAGAGCCCCAAGGGACAAGGAATTAGACAACTTACGGATTCTTCTGCGGGGCCGGTGGCGCCTGGATCACACTTGCCCTCGCTAGCAGGTACAGCATCCTGCCCGGTACCGATGGCGAGAATCTCGGTGCCGCAGTTGGCGGACTGGGCGACGTGGACCTGCTGGTTGTCCCAGTCGAAGACGAAGTAGCCGCCGCGCATGACGGAGTCACCGAGAATCTGCTGGTGCTCGGTGACGCGGAGGCCGACGTAGCAGAGGCGGGGGTTGCGGTAGTGGCGGCTGTTGAGGACGAAGTCGGAGACGGGGACGCGGAGGACGAAGGAAGGGTCGCCGCGGTCGTCGAGCTCGCCGAAGCCAAAGTCGACGGTGGAGGCGCTGGAGCGCATGGAGCAGGCGGCGAGGAAGAAGCCCTCGTCGTCCATGGTGGCGTCGAGGTCGGTGAGGATGGCCTGGGCGAGGCGGGGGTGGAGGCGTGTGAGGGTGGTGCCGCTGTCGAGGAGGACGCTGTTGGAGCCGTCGGGGACGACGTGGCTTACGCGGCGGGAGCGGGAGACGCCGATGGTGGAGAGGTGGATGGCGAGGCTTGGAAGGCGTGGGTTAGCTTTTTTGTTGGACATTGACATTCTTATGCTGGCAGGGGAGAGATTCTATCATACCGAGGTTCACCTTCAAGGCCTGGGACCATGGGGAAGCTGGCGAGGGGTCCTGTGAACTTTTTGACGTCGAGGCCGCCAAAGATGACGGCGCCGTTGCGGTCCTCGGCGTGGCGCAGATCGATGGAGAAGGACCTGGACTTGATGAAGCCCTGGGCCTGCATGGAATTGAGGACGAGGGAGTAGGGTTTCCCGGCGGTGAAACCATCCCGCAGATCGGGACCGAGGCCGAGGATGCCGGAGATGCCGTCGACGGTGCCGTTGACGATGACGCCAAAGATTTGGTCGGCGAGGGTGACGTCGCCGATGGCGAGGCTGTCCTTGAAGTAGTTGAGGGTGACGGAGGTCTGGGTGGAGGCGTCGCTGGAGTCGCCGTAGTGGAGGCTGCCGCGGCCGACGGGGCCGGAGACGGTGCGGGAGTTGGCGGGGTCGTAGGTGCCGAAGAGCTGGCACATTTCGTAGGAGCGGCGGTCTACGGCGTCGTCGCAGCTGGGGATGACCCAGAGATCGCTGGAGCCGGTGTCGATGAGCACGGCGAGGTTTTGGGCGGGGTTGCCGAGGGAGACTGGGGCGCGCTTTAGGTTAGCTTGGGGGGATGAAAGAAAGAGAGAGAGAGAGGGAAGACTTACTCTCGATGGTGTAGTAGGTGACTAGATTGTCGAGAACGACTTCGAACGGGCTGCGTGGTTTGATGCCGGCGGCTTCGGCGTTTTGCATCTTGTCGGTGCGGCTAATGGGGAGGCTGATGAAGCCGTCGCCCGTGACGGCGCGGGGAATGTGAGGGCCGGGGCGGCGCCGGCCATGGCGGTGGAGATGATGCCGCAGGCCGTGGCGGCGGAGAAGAATTGGGTGAACATCATCGCGGCGGGCGGCGGGAAGCTCCCAAAGACTCGTGGTTCTCTCGGTCGAGAATTGATTACACTCGACTGCTTTTTAGAAGCCCCGGCGGGAATCGCGCACTTTGGGCACGACCTCGGATCGAGGGAAGTAGATTACCCCCTTCCCACGGTTGCAAAAGGGAGAGATAGAGAGAGAGAGAGAGAGAGAGAGCGGCGCGGGAGACGGCGGCGTCGGTCAAGGTTGGAGAGGAAGACGGGATCGCGGCAGCATGTCTTCTGGGGGACGGCGTCAAGAAAAAGTCCCGTGGCGATGGTGGACCTTAAGGGGGAGAGGAGAGGAGAGAAAGGCTGGAGGAGGGGGAGAGAAAGGAAGAGGCCCCTTGGAAATCGGTGGGAGGAGGAGGACGAAGAAGAAAAAGAGAAGAGACGCTCGAAGGCGGTTCTTGGCCTGCTTTTCGCGATTCTAGCCAAGCTTCCACCGAATTACCGACAGCGCCAGCAGCAGGGGGAGACAAGCAGCAGGCATGGCAGGTTCCCCAAGTACTTTGTACACGATTGAGTGCGTCGACTGCGCTGACCACTCGGTACACTGCATGAGTATGGGGATGGCTGGCCCAGCCAGCACTGGAGCGGGCGGAGTGAATGTTACTTTGTAGCGTCGCATGGGGGAGAGAAGAGGCGAGGAGCGGCGAGGAGCGGCGAGGAGCAGCGAGGAGGAGGGGAGGAGAGCTAACGGGGTCCTTCGCCCCCCTCCATTCCGCTTCGGGAAGCTAGCCCAGGCTGGGCGGACAGGTCCTCTGACCAGTGGCCCGGGAACCAATGCGCAGCGGCAACCTCAGCTCTTTGGCTTTGGCATCATGCAGGCTGGGTATGACAAGGTACAGGAGCCACAAAGCCAATCAAACTCGGAATGAGGGTGTGTGGGTGGGCAGGCGGGAACAGGGCAGGGCCAGGCCAGGCCCCAACGTCGAATGCGAGTGTGCTGTGCGTTGGTGCTGATGCCGTGTTCGTGTGTGGACGGGTTGAAGGAAGCATTATGGCTGATGATTATTATTACTATTATTACTACTATTCTTCCCTCCTTCCCAACCCCTGTTGGCCAGTCGGATCTACAAGGAGGAAGCAATTCTCTGGGTTAAAAGTTTGGACGTTTGGTTGGGGGAACTATTATTGCCAAGAAACCCGCCCAACTGCGCTCCTCCTTGTATTAATACTTTGGCACTGTTCAAGGATCGGGCAGTGCATTGATGATCTCTGGAGCCTGGTCCCAAGGACGGACGGAGAGGGGATGAAGAACAATGCTTGTTCGTGATTTGGAGGTCACAATGTGGGTTGGTCGGGCGGGTTGAGGGCTTAAAAGCTTGAGGGGGAAAAAGGGAGGAGAATGGATTAATAGATCCATAGATGTTGGGTGGGAAATTGATCGGTCGTTGGGCCGTGGATAAACAGCACATCATTTATTAGGGTGTGTTCTTTTGCTTCGATTGAAGATACGCGAGCTGTGCTGTTTTTAGAATGATCCATGGATGCATCATAACCCCAAGTACTTGTCGAGATCCTCTCCGCTGCTCCCGGGGCAGCTTTGAGCCCTCATGCGCCAATAATCGACGAGTGCGCACTCCATGCTCCACACGGAAGAATAGGACGCACACACTTGCGGGCTGTGGACAAAAAAGTGCAAGGAGATGAGATGACTGATCGCGTGTATGAAGTACTTTGTGTGCAATTGTTGGTCAAGTTGGTCGGTGCGGGAGGGAAAAAGAAGGAAAATTGGACGCTTCTTGCTCTTCCTTCTCATCAGCCAGTACCGAGGTACAGGTCCCAGGCCTTCTAGGGCTACCTTTGCCTCCTAGCTAGCACTGCCTGGCCTGACCCGGTTCCCAAACTTCAGTTGTGCTTGGCGTGGGACCGCTGAGCTCCTGAGCTGGAACAGGCAGCATGGATGAATGACCGTTTGATCCGAATTGCACTGGCAAGAACTGGTTCCTTCGTGGGGAACGATTCATCTCAAGTAGGCTGGGCTAGGCTGGGCTGGGCTGAGTGGAGCACTCCAGTCTGATAAGGAACGAGCAAAGTACCCGAGTTGTCGCGCTGGCACGATGCTTGATGTCGTCACTAGCCCAAGACTTCTTCTGTTCCGAACGCTCACGATGTTTTCTTCAAAAGGAGCTAAACCCCACTAGAAATTGGATCTCCAGGATCAAATCAATTGTGGACTTGCATCAAGCCCACTGATTGATCATGGTTATGGTTGGATGGGTTCGCGGTGCGTTAGCTTTCGTCTGGCAACATGCCAAGCCAAATGGATCAACAGCGCACACCAAACCCTCCGTGGATTCCAGTGGAGACGAGCATCTCACAATGCATCTATTCGATCCATTGATCAATTTGTTCTCGTATTGTAATAGTGGAACACGCTCTGCTCTGGTGCGAGAAAATGCTGATCGGCACCAGTTGACATCTCCATCCACGCCCACTTCAAGTTCAAGCTCACGCAAAGGTACATGCCTCGGTACCTCTGTCAATGCCGGTTGACCCTTCCGAGATGGAGGACCACCCCCGAGCTTCAGAAGTTGGAGAAATCAAGATAGCACCTCATGTTTTCCTCCCTCTCCCTCTCTCCCTCGCAGCCAGCCCTATCTGGGTTTCCCAGACGAGCGTGCTAGCGAAACCTTGCCTTCCCAAAACAGAAAACAAGAACGAACCACGAGGTGGGGGATACGGATGCATGTGCGGAGGGGGAACGAACGTGATGCGCTGGCTGCTATTACTTGGGGAGAAAGGGGAGGGGTCACAAGTTTCCGGATAAGCTTCGAATAGCTGTGCGCCTCACACAGGTCGGCCGATGCAGGCCCCGGCCAGCCCCAGGCGCCGTCAAAGGGATGGGCCTCGAGCGAGGTGCGAGCTGTTCCTGTTTAGGGCATAATGCGGCAATGGCGCCGATAGGCTATCGAAGTCAAAAGGGACGACGAGAAATGAGAAATAGACAATATCCCAAGGCTAAGGGTGAAAAAGAGGGTTATGAAGAACCACCGTCTCTGGGAAGACGCCCGCGAATGCCTCCCAGGCCTTACCATGTGTTCGGAAGGGCATCATGTCATGTGGTGCGATTCGGAGGGTTAGTGGAAGTGGAGGACTTGGCCATGTAGCGTTGTCGCCATCGGAAGGAGATCCTTGATAAAACCCCACGAGCTGGGCAATAGAAGTGAGTGAGTGGCACTTTATAGTCCGTATCGGTCGTGGAGAGCATAGCACACACGCTGTACCGAGAATCACAATCTCGCACAATAGGTCTAGCAAAAGACAAGAATATGTTCTAAATAAAACCACCCCGTTCTTCTAGCGGATAGGGGATCTAGATGCAGTGTACACGTAGTTTATATAACTCGAAAAAAAAAGAGAATCCCCCATTGTACTGTACAAGGCCCTGCTCCCCGCGCGCCATCCCATCGGGTTTCCGCAGCTCGCTACCGCCCCGCCCTTACTCCTTGCCCGTCCCGGCCACGAGGAGCACCACTCCGCCAAGCTGCCTACGAATATCCTCCCTGTCCACGTCGTGCGTGTCCTCCACCTCGCCCCAGTTCCCCGTCTGCCACGCCACCTCGATCCCCGCCGCCTTAGCCGCCGCCTCCACGCCGAACCGCTCCCGCCCCTCGCCGCCGCCCCGGGACGCGATGCCCGCCCCTTCCTCGCTCCACTGCACGAGGAGGCGCGCGGCGATGAGCAAGCTCTTGGCCGACAGCACCGCCCTCTCCAGGCCCGCGAGCTCCCACGCCGAGAGCCCCGCCACCCAGCCCTCCACCACCGCGCGGGACCCTTCGTCCTGGCTGCGCGGCATGATGGAGTTCTCGTCCAGCACCGGCACGAGCGAGATGCCCGGCCACACGCGCGACACCAGGTAGCCCACCACCTCCTCCGCCGACGCCTGCTGCAGCTCCCGCAGCGTCCGGCCCTGCGCGTCCTGCTGCGTCACGTCGCCCTCCGGCGCCCAGCAGAGCACCGAGTCCGTGTCCAGGTACCGCATCACCATCTTGGTGATTTGCGCCCGCGCCGGCCCCACCCCGCTGCCTGGGCCCGTCGCGTGCGTCGCGTCTTCCGCTGCTAGGTCCAGCGCGCGGCACACGAGGCTGGTGAGCGGGATGAGGTGCTGTCGCGTCGCGTCCTGCACCGACGTGAGGAGATCCCACTCGAGCGCGAGCGCTGTGGCGAGGTGCGGCTTGGTCGTCGGGATCTGGATGATTTCTTTGGTTGTTGGGTGTCGGAGGACTCGGGTGTCGAGGAAAACTTGGAGGGAGCCTGCCACATTGCCGAGCGTTAGAACGTCTTTGACAGAATTAAATCCAGCCTTCGTTTAGTCGGCGGCATTGAGGGTTGGGGGATAGGGGTTGTCAGAGGAAGAGCGTAATATCCAAAGTAAAAGGGGCAGAAAAAGAAAAAAGACCTCTCGGCCCTTCTCTCATTCCCCCCTTCTTCTTCGTCTTCCTCGTCTTCCGCCCCTGGTAGGGACCACGTACCATCAACTTCCTTGACATGCACTTCATTCCAAAACCTCTTGGACAACGGCTTGCCCCCGCCCTGCTCTGCTTCGCCAGCTTCAGCATCTCCGCCTGCCGCCTCCGCTTCTTGACCCTCGCCAGCGCCTCTTCCGCCTGGCTCACGGGCGCCTGCGGCGGCGGACCCGTCCCCACGATGGGCGCCACGTCCGCCGCCTGTCCGCCGACCGCCCGGAACGCCGCCCTCGTTCCCGCCACCGCCAGCGTGGGCGTCGTCATCCTGCTTGCCACCATCGTGCTTGTCGTGGCTGACGCGGAAAGCCGGCCGCCGAGGCGTGTGAGGGCCTTCATCGTGGTTCCGAGGTTTTTTCTATTTTTTTCTAGCCTCCAATGATATTTTCGTTGAGGAAGAGGTGAGTGTTGTTCGTGTGCGTTGACGACTTGGCGCCTCGACGAAATTCCTTGGTCGTACCTGAAGCTGGGAGGAAAGCCGACAAGAAAAGGCGATGAAATAGTCGTGGTGGTTGGATGCGTCTAGGAATCGTCAATCATCAACGATGGGAACTAGAAAAATGCAGGTAAAGTGGACGAGAGACCCAGAGCTTAAGTGGGTCTGTTTCTCCTATTTCAATTGGCCAATGTTCTTTCAGCTTCTGTGGTAGCCACGAACTGCCTCACCGACGTTCACCGAGGGTCCTCAAGTCAATCAACATTAGGCACCATTACTCGTCAAACACAATATGGTATTCAGATTGTATGCATGAATTTATGGACTGCATTAAGGCTTCATTTTTGACAAGTGTCATTGTCTACTTCACTACCTATGGGAGAAGGAAAAAGAAAAAGAAGAGAAAAACGTACGCAGACATCCACAAGTGCTGCTTGTTTTTTTGTATCCCTTTATCACGTCAACCCAGTAATAAGCAATATTGAAAAGTGCGAAAACGGAGCGCTACGGACAGAACCCTTCGGGGCTTCAATGTATAAATGCCCCCATCTCCTACTGCAAAGCCAAAGCAGAAAGCCATGATGATAATGGTACAAGTAGCGCGACCTCCACGGCGACATGGGGCGTCGGACGCTGATCGTTCGCCACCCGGCAAAGGAAAAGCCGGGGCGAACGAGGAAAAAAGTGTTGTAAGAAGGGAGAAGAAGGATTCATGTGGAGAAAACTGGACAAAACATGCGTGCTGTGCCAAAGGGACGCTAAGCCTAGGACCGTCCCCATCTTTGTTGTTGGATTATGTAGAAGCAGGAACATCGTGAAATACAGAAAACAGAAAGCCATGCTTGGAAGAGTGTTTGCTTTTGTAGCCTCCTCCGTCTCCTGACGCCCACGGAACACCTTGAATCGAAGAAAGAAGAGGTAAAGAAGAAAAGAAAAAAATGGCAAAACCGGAGGGTAAACCAACATCATACGAGTACAATAGGGGTTTCCAAAAGGGAAACCAGGGTGAAAAAAAGGCCGTAAAATGGAAGAGGAAAAAAAGGTCATCCTCGGCCAATGTAAAAGAGAAAAAAAGACGACGTCCTTTGAAGGATAGAAGGAGGATCGCAGACGAATAAGTTGGAAGGGCGGCAACATTAATAAAAGGTAGAGAAAAAGGCTGCGACGTTCCCGACCCTTCCGGATAACGAGAGACGAAAGACCCGGCGGCATGGATCGAGGCAACACCTACAGGGCAACACCGATACGTATCTAATACGGCGGCCTCGTGAGATTGCCCAAACCTTCCTCGCCGTTGCGGCTATCGATCCCCTGAGCAGCTCATCGAGGTCCACCACGCCCGACCTCGTGCTCTCCGCCATCGATACGCCTCGCTGCACCTCACCCCCGCGGCTGCTAATGTTTCGCTCGCCGCCTCGGCTGCTGATCCGGCGGTCCATGCTTCGGCTCGTGCGGGGTCGGTCACCTCCGCGGCTGCTAACCGCCCGGCCAGGAGATCGCGCCCCATCTTGTCCCCGAGACAATTGGGCAGCGCCAGGTTCGCTGCTCTTAGATGATGCCAGGACGGCAATCGTTGGCAGTGGCGGGACGGGCGGCACATCTTCAGTCTGCTGGTTAACCTCGGCCTCCTGCACGGCTTCCATGGACTGCCTTGCTTCATGCGTGGGGTTGGATGTGAGCGGTCCCGTGCTGCGACCCTTGGATGGGGTCCTTTGCAGACCTCCGGAATACGGTGCAGCCGCTTCGGCGGGCGGCGGTTGACTTTCTGGGTTGACGCTTAGTTCTGATGGCGAGTATTCGTAGCTAACCATGCTATCGATGCTGTCCGAATCTCCATCCAACGCCCCCGCCGTCCCCGGCATGGGATATTGAATCTGTCCCGAGAGGACCTGCTTAAGTTGATCCACCGAGGCGATATACCCTCGGCTAGATGCCGACGGAGAGGAGAGATCCCGCTGCGCACGCTGCCCTTCTTGGGGACGTGAAGGGGGCGAGCCCACCACCCGCTTGTGCCGAGCCTGGCCTCAGGTTGTACTGGCTTCCATAGGGCGACGATGTGTGGCCATTCGCGCCGCCCCCGTTCACGGCCAGTCGGTTCCGGTTCGTTCCCGTCGTGCCCGCCTTGGATCCGTTCAAGGACGCCGACCTGCTACCCGATTGGAGAGCCATGACAGCCTGATCTCTCGTCCATTCCACAAGCATTAGCTCTCGGTACTGGTTGGGAAGGTCGCATTCCGTCGTCGTCAGTGCAATCGTGCCCGAGGTGAGGGAAGAATCTAGCATCGGCTGCGCAAACGTCCGCCCTGGAGACGCGGCCGGGCTCGCAGCGGGCGACACCGTCACCTCTTGGTACCCCACAGCGACGCACTCAACCAGCGAAAGCCGGTCGTCAAAAGGCAAGAGGGACTCGGACTCGATCTCGTTCAGCGGGAGCTGGGCTTCGGGCAAAGAAACCCCCGGTGTGCTGATTCGGTCAATGGGCGGCGCAGGGATCGTGACACCTTCCACCCAAAACTGTTTACTGCGCCGGCGAATAATTTCGTTGGTAATGGCACGCCCGACGACCGAGGCTTCGAAATCGAAGCACTCTGTCAGCGTCCAAAAATACCCGTGCACCAGACTGCCGATTCGAACCTTGTGCAAGGGTGTCTCGGCGTCCAGGATGTCTTCCTGGAGTCGGTAGATCATCGGTAGGCCATATCGCACCGCGTTCACGCCAAGCGTAAAGACGAGCTTCAGCAACAGGACGTGCATCAGCACGTAATCGGCGTCGCATTCGACGTGCTGGAGGGCGTTGTCGTACACCGCGATGTGAAGAAGCTGAAGAAACCTCGAGCCAGATGCCCTGACGTGCTTGTCGTGGTTGGAGGCGGAAGATGCCGCTCGCCGCGCAAAGGCACCGGCGCCAACTTCCTTGCTAACCTTGCCTGGTTGCCGATGCGCCACCGCATCGTTTTGCACCCTCAGATCCGCGCGGCTCGTCTCCCGGTCGAGCCACGTGTTGAGAGCATCAACGTAAGCCTTCCTTACCTGGCCATCGGGATCCCGGAGCAGCCAGTGGGTTCCCTCCCAGACGTGGAGAGGCACCCGGTTTCGGGACAACGAGCGGGTGCTCGTCGACTTGGATGGGGGATTGGCAACGAGGAGGATCGACTTGACCGCTCGGAGGGCGGCAACCTTGGCGGCCCCAAAGGAGAAGTAGGCTTCGATGTGCGAGGTTCGGTCGACGAGGTCGGTCGCGTCATCGTCCTGTTCGGCGTGAGGAGAGGAGCTTGTGCTGCCAGACCGAGCGGGCTTGAGGCGCTGGAGGATGGTCGAGATCATATCGGACACTTGATCGGCGTAGTAAATATGAGTGGCGAGCTCGCCCATGCAGCGTTCGATCTGGGCGAGGAGGTCGGCCCTCTGCTCTTCAACAAGGCGAGCTTGTTCGACCGGGGTTTGGCGGCGGCCTCCGCTCTCGTGGCCCTGAGCATCATCCGCTTCGTCGTCGCTGACCGGAGGAAGGAGGATGAGTTTCTTCATCTGCTGGATTAACTGCAAGAGGACGTCCATGACACTGAGCCCAATGAGATTGATATCGGATCGCAGTAGGGACCCGACCATGGCTGTCAGGGCCAGATGAACGCGTAGATTTTCATCCCGAACCAGGGTTCGGACCATTGTGTCCATGGTCGTGACGAGAATCATGTAGCGATCTTGAACAGGCGCCCACCGAGCCACCTGCTCAAAGATTGTGATGGCCCAGCCGAGATTTCGGCCGGTCCTGGGGTCTCGTTGCATCACCAACTCGCCTTGCCCAATCTTGTTTTCGATGAAGGCGAGAAGCGCCTGTGTGGCGGCATGTATCTGGGGTCGATTAGGGACAACGAAGATCATCTTGAGGCACTGCATCGCAAGGACGGAAATATCCTCCTCGGCGAGCTTATCGACGTCGAAAGCGGTTCCCGACAGCGCGATGGGGTTGGTGTCGCCTGCGGTATCAGCGGTTCGGACGGTCGCGATGCTCATGCGACGGCGGGTGAGCTTTTCGGAATCGACGCGCTCCTCCATCTCCACCCTAGAGTGCAATGTCTCGAGGAAGCCGTCGCTATCGTTCCAAAGGTTCTCGAGGATGATGGGGACGATGACGGGTAATTGGCGACCAACGAGAGAGGACAGGGCCTCGGACGAAGCGATGCTCCGGATGGCCTCAAGGCCGGCGTTCCGCCATCGCATGAGGACGGGCTTGCTCGAGGGAATTTTGGTGGGTACATATTTGGCGGATGCAAAGTTCGCGTAGGCACGCACGACGGACTCGTACTGCTGGACATAGCCCTGGTCGGCGAAGAGGGACGACGCGTCGTGGTTATCACAAAAGGCTTCGAAAGTGGGTATGGAAGACTCTATCATGGTGATATCTTGGGATTCGAGGACAAGGTTGAGGACGCGCAGGACGCATGGCGCAATCAGAGGAAGGTCCTTGGGAGACTTTTCGATGAGAGCGGCAAGGATCTGCAGGGTGACTTGGACATTTCTAAATTCGCGGGTCGTCGACGACGACGTCAGCAACTGTTGTTTCTCTTCTCTTTCATTGTTTTACGGTTCTGTTCCTAGGCTGGAGGATGAAAGGAGGGAACGATTGTCGAAAGCACAAAGGGGGAGGTTGGTGAGGTGAGGGTTCGAAGCGAATAAGACATACCCGATGCGGACTCTCCAGACATCGCTGGCCGTCTTCTTTTCAAGAAAGGAGCCAATCTTTTGGATTTTGGAGCGTCGCGAAGTTGCGTAAAAGAGCAAATAGCTAAGCTCGCTAGAGTTGGGCTTGACATCGACAGCGCCCTTTCTCGTGCGTGGATAGCATTTCAGGACGAGGACTTGGTGCTTCGGACGGCACCGGTCCTGGATGGAGTTCATCGCGCCGGACGAGCCGGAAGCTGGCCGCAGCTAGCCTATTGCCCGTCTGGCGAAGGGGAAAAGGCGCGGTGGTCGGACGCGGTGGGGATGGTCGAGGTTCGTGACGATGGCATTACTCGAAAAGAGCGTGGATTGAGCGAGCGCACGAACGTAAAGGCTCGATTTGCCGGATATGATGGGGGAGTGTGATGAGGGAGAAAAAGGTTGACGGATCTGGCTCGGATGGAGGAAGAAAAAGGGAGAAGTGGAAATGGGTCTAAAAAGTCGATGGAGCAATAGCACGAATTGTACCTGCTCGATTGTACCTGTTCTATCCACGGTACATTCGTCCGTACATGTGCGCTGCGGAAATGGCATAGAACGAACTTGTGCGCCAAGGTACAGGCACTTTGTTTTCTTTTCTTATTTCGATCCCCTCAAGTGCTCCTCCCCGGCATCAATGGCACCCAGCACGTTATCAGTCCCGCTAGATCATTGATGTTGCCAACAGCAAAGGGAGCAGCTTAGCATCCATCCAGATATACTTGTACATGGAGACAGAAGCTATTCAAACTCTCTCTTCCCTCTTCTCTCTTCCCCTCGAAACCCGCGGATCTCCCATCAGTCCGCTGATCCATGGATGTACCTGACCCGATGTGCCCGACCGTGTGGTTCACAGTTGTCTCCATCTTCGGTGGCCAGAACGTGCTGACTGCCTGGGCTGGTGACACCCTGGCATTCCCGCTAAACCCCAGTCGGTTCTGCTCTGGGCGCTATCAAAGTATCGCCCGAGAGATGCCCGCCATTGAGACTATTTTCTCTTCCCCTTGCCCCCTTCCACCTTGCTCGAACACACACTGTTCCCACCACCATCATCCCATTTTAACAGGATTTACAAGTACTTTCGACGTTCTTATCGTCCATCGCTTAATTTTGTGTTTTCTTTTTCTTTCTTTGTTTGTATGACCGCAAACTGACGAAACCAACAATCTTGACTTGGACCCGGAATTGTGACAAACCGTAGTTGGGGGAGATAATATATCGACCCTCCCAGCCCGAAGCGAAAGTGCCAGACGTAATGATCCTTCAATGGCAACATACATGCTGTCTGTTCGATCTAGCCTCTCTGACCCGCTGCCTAATAATCAATACAAATAAGCAGATTTCCATGGCTTTCGGGTCCCACCAACATTACGTCGGCACCGTGGGCCAAGCCACCCACAGCTTCCAACCCAATTTCCTCCCTCTTCCTCTTCCCTGCACTACAGCAGCAGCGTCGTAGGAACGAGGGGCTGGATGGCTAGAATAGGGGAAATGATAAAAGAAACGAGCACAGGAATCGTCAACCCTAGATTGAAGAATCAGATCCAGAATGCCAGGAGACCCTTTTCTCCCCTGCCCCTCTCCCCGACTTTTGTTTTCTACCTTTTGTTCCGGCATGTGCGGGCCAGCAATCGTGTCTCTTAAAGACTTGGTCATTCTTGGCACAGAGGTGGGCTCAGAGATCCAATTGTTCACTGGCTGGGTTACTTACACGTGGAGGTGGGACTTTGTCTTCATATTCCACCCTTCGCATCACTGATTGCTCCAAGTCCACGTTCAGGGTTTCCGTCAGCTCCGGCGCTGACCCGCCAAGTGTCTCGTTCAAGAGTGAAATCGATCCGATACAAGACAGTGACGATGTCGAAGCCATACTGACCCCCTTCCTTCCTTCGCCCGCCACTGCAGACATTCTCTTCCACAAGTCGGGTACTATCAAGGCACAAGCGAAGACGTGGAGAAGGAAAAAAGAAAAAGAAGAAAAAAAAGAAAAAAAAAAAGAACAAAGGAACATAGAGAGACTCGCCGCAATCGTAAAGGAACAATGAACCGTTCTCCCTCCACAAACTACACACTACAAGTCAGGATGCCAGGCAAGTTAAGCCGTGAAGCTGTCGCCACGTCATTGCCCGAGGAGAGGGATGCGCACAAATGAAGCAAACTACGTCAAAACAAAGCACGTCGAGGTCTCAACACTTCAAGCTGTGACAAAGGAGCTTATTAGCCTCACCTCTCAACGCTTCGAGCTGACCTCCGCCCCCGACCTCCGCTCCCCTGCGAACAAATACCTGAGACGCCTCTTTCTCTTCTCCTTGTTGTCAAAAAATTGGGCAGGTCCAGCTTCTGATGATCTGGCCTTGTTGATCGATTGGTCCCCGAGTTGTCGGCTGGGATAGGTTTCCGCCTCCTGCAGCACCACCGGCTACCGCAACCCGCATCCATCGGATGGACAATCTGCATGTACTATCGACCGCTTGATGGCTTACCATTGACGGGTGAATTGACGCAAGCCCACCCTGCAGTGGCAACCTGAATTCTTCAAAGAAGCGGAGGGACGGTCGCGATGGCGATCCAGGCCTAGATGATATTCGCCGGTGCCTAATGAGCACCTAGCATGATCATCACAACTACATGTATTCAAAAATACGGATATTTAGAGTTCATCCCCAACATTAAACTCGGATTTGTCGCCTTGACGAGCAGCTTGAGGCGACCTCTTTTGAGGGTTTCAATCATTTTTATAACTTCTTCCCTCCCTTGCTATCCGTGGGGGTATAGCGCAATTGCGAGACATCAAGCCTCCATCTCTTGCGTGGTGAGGGGCTAGCGGAGCAAAGAACCTTTGAAGTGAGGGGCAACATCACGAAACATACGGCGATTCATCTCCTCCAGACCACCACGTTCTTCCAACGGCACAACACATGTGCACGGGAATGTTCCTGTTGAACACTGGCCGCATCCCAGTGCGTGAGTGCACCCGTGTCACATGTAGTCCTCATCGGGCATTTGCATGTGGACGGGGAAATTTCACAACCGCCCGGGACGTCTTCCTTACACGCAGGTTTGTAGTGCAGCAAGGGTAACCTCCATCGATCAAGATCCATTGCTCTACTTACACACCGACTTTGAGGGCGGGAGGAGGAGGGGGTAGTCCCTTGATGGGAAAATGAAATGAAATAAAAGGAGCGTAAACAACGGCTTGGATCTGAATTCTTTTTTTTTTCTTGGGGAGTTATTCTCAATCCCTCCTGTCGGGGTCTCTTGGCAAGGCACCTCTGCACGACTAAACGTCAGAGATGTTGGCGGAATTCCACGAAGTCGTGTATCTTCACCCACCTCCGTTTTTCTTTTTGAAAAAAAAAAGAAAAGAAAAGTGGTTCTGTGCGTGCTATCGAGACTTTTGCCCACCTCTTTTTCTACATCTCATTTCCCTCAGATACCACCGGCCCGGAAAAGTCCCGTCACCGCTCGATTGGTTCTTTCCAAGTCAGCCGAGTCATCGGCGGACCTCGTGTACTGCACTGATTGGCATCAGTGAACCCACCAAAGAATGGAGGGGAGTGAAAGGGTGGTAATGGCTCACGTTGGCAACTAAACTTCGTCACAAGGCCTCACCGGTCCGATGGAGTTGATTATAGTCATGTCCTAACCTGGACCTCATATAACGTGTTCCTCAACACAAGGGGGTTTGCTTCAAGAAGCTGGAAACATCCATTCCGCATCGGTCCATATAGATGCCGTAGATGTGTTTAATATAGTGTGGTGGGTGGCCTCGCCGCAGTATAACTCAAATTCCTTCTTTTCAAACGAAGCTATCTTCAACTACAAGGGGGAGGGGGAAATTACATCCTCTCTTTTGATAGCTTTGCACCTTTTATTCTTTTGTTAATTCCAAAGACAAGCCCTTGCCAGCCATTCTAGCAAAGGGCATGAGATACACCGATATATGACTGAGATAACCCAACTTCATCAACTGCTGGCAGGAAGCGTCTTCTTAAGAAAGTCTTCTACGTCGTCGAGCTCCTCCGGGCAGGCCGAATGAGGCATGCTGTAAGCCAGACAGTTAGACATGAAATTCACTCGAGCTGAGGGACAGGATACCGGGCTTAAGAAGCACGAGGTTTCCACAACGGAACAGGCAGTAGAGAAACTTACGGATAAGTCTTAAAGGTGACATCGTAGCCGAGTTCCTTGAGTTTCTCGTAGGACAGCCGGGCCAGCGGAGGCACGACAAGAGGGTCAAAGGAACCGTGGGCCATGAAGATAGGAGTCTGCTTGTTCTCGGGGTGGCGAGCTCCTTGAACTTTCCACCCAGGAGGAGCCAGCAGGACAGGGCGACGATGCCACCGAGCTTGACGTTGGCGGACAGGCCTGAGAGGACAGACATGGCGCCGCCCTGAGAGAAGCCGCCTAGGATGATACGGTTGGCTGAGATGCCGCCGTCAATCTCTTCCTGGATCAGCTGGTGAAAGTAGGTGCGGCTGGCCAGGATACCAGCCTCATCCTCACTTCTCTGCAGAGACTCAAGTGTCCCGTTGAGCTCCTTCTGTAGAGTGTATTAGCACATTGCCCTCTTTCCCTCTTCGCTAACGAGCTCCTATCGGGGCGCTAGCAATGAATTTCAAGGGGTCAAGGTAGAACCTACAATATCAAACCATCCAGGCATTGCCATGCCGCCATTCTGGGAAAACAAGGTGGTGTCAGCTCTCGATTCGGCCCCGGCCGGCGAAGCCAGCATACGAGGGAAGGGAGTGGGGCGTTCGTTCCCTTCCGGAAGGCAAGCAAGGGACTTACGGCCGTGATGGGCATGCTTGGGGCGTGCGGCAGGATAAACTTGACGTGGTCGAGCCGTTGGCGGCGTCTCCAGTTTTCTACGGCAGACTGCCAGCCATAGCCGGTATCACCGAGGCCGTGGGCAAAGATGACGGTGGCCGTGTGCTTGGCAGCGGCAGGGATGATCAAGCTTGCTCTCCGCGAGGGCGCCATGGTGCAGGAAACTCTGAGCGGTTGGCGGGACTTTGTGGAACGGGCAGGTGGTCGCGCAATGTTGACTTTGATCACGAGTCTACGAGTCAGATGCGATGCTCACCGGGGGAAGATTGAGTGGGGGTTGATTTCGGGGCCCCGTCTTGAAGAACGGCTCATCGCAGCTGAAGGCAGCTGCACAATGAGGGGCGGACTGGGCGCTCTTGAGCCCAATACAGACAGAGCTGAGACGGCGATTATTAATTCTTGTGAACGAATTCCCTTCCTTGTCTAGCAAAACTTCCCTTCCTCAAGTCTGACCTGGGCCGGTCGCAGGATGCAAGGCGTGTCAGTTGATGAATTGTGAAAGGAATCGCATCGTCCCCTTGATCAAGGGCCTCGTGACCCTTCTCCATCCGGATACAAAATCCCTCCCTCTCCGCGGCAGGATCACAGGCCACCGCACCGCGGGAGGGTGCCATTCATGGGGCTGCCGGGTCTAGAATCAAAGGAAGGCGGCCCAGCCGGGCCACCAGAGTGCCCATTTCAATTGAGTGGACAGGGCAACCTGCACGAATGACGTAAAGGGAAAAAGGCTTAGGGCGGCTTGTTTTAACCCCGCGAACATGCCGCATTGTTCGGTCTCCGTTGAACTCGGTTCTTGTCTCCCTACTTTGAGGAGCTGCCTCTTGCTTGAACTCGCAGTTGTTCGTCGTCCACCCCCGTTCTCCGGATTTACTGGCTAGATTAAAATACATGGTCCCTCAATGTTCGCACCGAAATTCCCAGCAATGGTACTGTACGTATATTCTTGACGAGACTGCGAGGCCCAGCGCAAGGCGCGCAATACCAGCTACCCGTATGACAAGGCGGGTAGGCGAGGCATTGGGGTTACAGCCATTGGAGTAACCGGCATGGATGGACTGGTCCTCCGGGCTCTTAGGGTCCTGGTATGAGAGCACTGTCACTTGACGCCGTCAACGGCCCAAAATGAGGTTCGGACAAGCACTCTGACTGGATCACTGAAAGTCCGCCTTATCCGCCGAGAGGCCCCTTGACGTTCGGCCTAGATCGAGGGCCTCGAACCTGGCGCTGGGCTGGGCTACGACGTGCAACACGCACTCACTGTTGACCCCATGGACGCAACCCCAAGACCTTTGATGGAGCAGCGAACTAGTTGTTGTTTCGGAAGAAGGTGATAGCAATGCGCTCGTTGTGTGATCCAGGCACCCGTCATCATCAACACCTACGGAATCAATGGATCGTACCTGCCCTCGCAAGGTCTCGGGGAACGGCGATAAAGAAGTTCAAGAATCTCCCGACTTCTCTCTAGGAGCACCTTGAATATCGTTTTACGCCCTGCAAGGTACCAGTACTGGAGCGGTTAGCCCTCCAAAGTGACGCGGAAACCCCGCAAACCGAGCGAATAGTTGGGAAGCCCTTCTCGTGGAGAATCCCTCGGGTGGAGACAGAGTTCTTTGCCCCCAAATAAATCCGCTGGTTGATCCACCGTCAATTGCCTCCCCCGACATCCCCAGGGCCTCGGCCGAACGGCTTCTCAAGCGGCTGCCGTCCTAGTCCAATTCGAGCGATTATAATTCATTTCGACTCGCCCACAACACGAGACCACACAAAAACTGAGTTCGCCGCGCGAAAGGGGGCTCACCAAACTGACATTGACCCATTTGACGTTGACATTGCAAGCAATCGAACGAGGCGCTTTCCCCGTACTCTTTCAACCCCTTTTCTGGCACCCTTCCCTCTCGTCGTCCTTGCTTTTCGGTTCTCTCCTCTCCTCGCCTCGCCCTCCTTTTGCTACTTCTGCCCCGCGCAGACCAGCTCATTTCCACGTCAATTTGGCAGTTATCGATCATTACGAGCCATCACAATTGGCCCCTCCCCCTGTTGCCATTCATTGATTGACCTTGAGCCTGGCTATTTTTTTCCCACCTTCCTCTCCCTTTTATACAATACACTTCCACCCTCACTGCTATCGAATTTTGGCTACGGATTCTTGGAGAGAAGATTATCAAAGAGTCAAAAAGAAAGAGAGAAAAAAACTAGGAACGCCTGTGCTTTCCTCAACAAGTGCCCGCCATCGGAGGTTGTATCGGACCTCTTGCCGAAGCTCAGAATCCCCTAACAAAATTCTGCCGAGGGCCCCGGCACCTGCACTAAACCCGCCCGAGCTTTAAACTGCTGCCTTCTCGCCCACATCGTCACAACCCTCAACCCACGATTTTACCTTTTCGTTACCTTGCCCGAATACATGGTTCAAGCTCGAAGCTATGTCTCCCTCAGCCTCGCCCGCCCATGAAGAGGTGGTAGTCGAAACTATGGAGACGCAAGCGTCCCCGCAGCCGCAAATCTTCCAAGCCACCGCACCTGTGGTGGCTACAACCACCACAACCACAACTGTCGCCTTCGATAGCGACGCCGAGGCGATAACAACAGAGGAGATACAAAAGACCATTGCGCACCCTGGATCAGTTCGAATTAACGTCGAGGGCGCCTTCATTGTCGAATCGCAGCCCAATTCGCCCACTCAAAAGCCCGTCAACTCTGGGCGCATATCACCCAGCCACGAGACCAGTGACATCAGGCTCCCCAACCACACTGCGGTCGTGAGCCATGTCGCCATAGATGTAAGTTCTTTGCCCCTACTCACCCCTTCTTTTCCCCACCGCCTGGGCGTGGTGCGCCGACTCTTAGGCTCCGTGTGCCGCCCTGAGCGGGGACGCGGATGCCCTGTGATTGTGAGACCTCTTGGCGATGTTTGGTCCTGACTAGGAAATAGATCGGAGGGTCGCTGGCCAAGCTGGTATACTTTACTCGGGAGGCCCACTCCACCGAGCCCGGAGGCAGGTTGAACTTCCACAACTTCGAAACCGACCGCATCGATGACTGCATCGAGTTCATCAGACACCTCAAGGAGAAGCAGCTGGGTCTCAATGGCTCCCACCCTTCTGAGCTGTGCGTGATGGCGACGGGAGGAGGGGCGTACAAGTTTTACGACAAGATCCGCGACGCGCTAGGCGTAGATGTGCTCCGGGAAGACGAGATGGAGTGCCTAATCATTGGTGCGTTATCCTGACCCCCTAGACCCTCTAGGCGTGGGGTTCCGCCTTGCGCCCCGGGTCAAGCTGGAACGTTAAAACTAACCGAGACGGACAAATAGGTCTTGATTTTTCATCACAGAGATCCCTCGAGAGGTCTTCACCTATAGCGAAACCGACCCGATGGAGTTCGTTTCTCCCAACGAAGCCATCTATCCGTACCTTCTCGTCAATATCGGGTCTGGTGTGTCCTTCCTCAAGGTATCGGGACCCCACAAGTACGAGCGCGTGGGCGGCACTTCACTCGGAGGTGGGACGCTCTGGGGACTCCTATCACTCCTGACCGGGGCGCGGACGTTTGACGAGATGTTGGACATGGCCGACAAAGGCGACAATACCAGGGTTGACATGCTCGTTGGCGATATCTACGGAACGGATTACGGCAAGATTGGCCTCAAGAGCACGACCATTGCGTCGTCATTTGGCAAGGTTTTCCGCATGAAAAAGGAGGCCGAATCTGAGGCGGAAGACAGCGGAGGCGCCCTGGCCTACTCGCTACAGGACGGTGCCATGGCGATCGACGCCGACCCTGGCTCGGAGGAGAGCAACAACCCCCACTTCAACCGCTCCGATATCTCGCGATCCCTCCTCTACGCCATCAGCAACAACATTGGCCAGCTCGCCCACCTTCACAGCCGCATTCACGACCTCAACCACATCTACTTTGGCGGTAGCTTCATCCGCGGCCACCGTCAGACCATGAACACCCTCAGCTACGCTATCAAGTTTTGGAGTCACGGGCAAAAGCAGGCTTACTTCCTCCGGCACGAGGGCTACCTCGGCGCTGTCGGGGCTTTCCTCAAGCGGCAACCTAGGAACTGGGGCCGCCGAGGCAGCTTCGAGGAGTCTGTCGCCAAGGATGGCCTGGAGTGGCGCATGCGCGAGAGGAGTGCCCACGAAGGTGCCGAGGCGTCGTGAAGGGGGAAAACAACAAAAAAAAAACGAAAACGAAAAGAAAAGGAGGGTCCTCTCTTTCCCCCGTACCTCTCGAGCTGCTATCTCTCTTCCTTTTGGTCACGCTGTGATGATTTTTTATAGAAAGTTATCCTCTCCTTTTTCCCCCTCCGCGTCCTCTGGCAAACACGGGCACTACTACTTTTGGCTGTGGAGAATCGCCTGGACGCCGGGACTGGAGTTGGAGCTACTCTGCGCAGGTCTCCTTTTTCTTCTTTTGCGCAAAAAGATGATTGATGATGTTGGAACCAGGCGAGAATACCATCTACCTTTTTGCCTTTTTTGCTCTTTGGTTCTTCTTTTTCATTTTTTTATGCGGCCGCCTTGACGGTGGAACGACTGCTAGCGTACGATATTAATCTGGCCTTTTTTTGGTCTCTCCATTTCCCCTCTCCTTTTTATTGGGCGACTAAGGGGGCGGATCTACAGGACTGTTTTCTTGTTCTCATTGATAGATTAGAACTTTTGAATGCGCCCTCATCCAAATCAAATAAACTGCGGCGTTGTGTTGGGTAAGCTTTGGGCGCCCTCACGTAAAAGCCATCATCACAATACCTTGAACAGCTTGATGTGCGTTTGCATGGTGACGAGGAGAGCGTCCACCAGCCGAGGATAGCTCGGGAACTGTGGGTTGCGCCCGGATGGGTAAGAGAGTGAAGTGTATTAAAGACAAGGGGAAGGGGCAAGATTCCTTATTCTTGCCGCGGTGCGTTGTTTTTATCAGTTTCATAAAGTTACAAGTATGGAAAGAAGCGCCGGCCATGCATGCGTTCGTCGTGATCACTTGCCTCGTGACACTTTTTCCCATCTCTCCTTCTCCTCCTCTCGTCTATCCTCTCCATTCATAATCGTAGCAAAACACGCCCTGAGGGAGCCGAGGTCGTATGCCTACTCTATCCGGCAGACCCCCTTCTCCCTCCAACTCTCTCTTTCACAAACGCATACAGCACGTATGCGTCCTCCTTCCTCTCGTCTCCCCTCCCCTTTAGGTATCCTTTTGTGCCGGCTGCTCGGCACCATCCTGCGCAGGAATCTTGCCAATCTTTGTAAGTATGGACGACGCCCACTCCTCGAGCTCCTTTTCCGCCTTGGCATCCGCCTCGCCCACCTTGGTATGGACCCTCCCGCGCGCCCACCGCTTCAGGTCCTCGCCGTTGGACAGGTCAAAGGCGTAGGACAGCCCGCCGGCGGCGACCATGGTGAAGCTCAGGACGTTGAGGGTGGCCAGCCCGAGGCCTCGGCCGCCACGAAGCCGCCGTCTATATTTGTGGCGGCGGCGGCGGCGGCGTCGCTCTCGGCGCTGGTGAGGGGAAATGGCGGACGTTGGTGTCGAACATCTTTAGCCGGGCGGCGATCTGTTTGCGCACGATGGCGCGGCGCGTGACGAGTAAGGAGGCCATGGTAAACGTGGCGCCCATGAAGAAGAGGCCGAGCTGTTTTCTCGCGCGCGCGGAGAAGAGGGAGCGGTCTCGGGGCGGGAAGGGCGCCGACGGGGCGCTCGGTGTTTGCGACATGGTTTACGGGTTGTGGAAAGGGGAAGACGGAGGGAGGTTTCGAGGTTTTTCTTTGGTCGGGGTGGCTTTTGCTTTCCGACTGGTCTTTTGGTGGTGGGATTTATGGATTTATCTGGGTTCTTCTTCTTCGTTTCGTCCTTCGCCTTTCACTGTTTAGAGCCTCGGGACAGGGACCGCAAAAGCTATTGGCTGGGATTGACTTCTCGGAAAGCCTTCATCCAATGTCTCGAGGTTGGATTTGGAGATACGAATTGGAATTCGAGGTGGGGAGGGCGTCAATTGGTGTTAGATCGAGGGTAGGCCGACGATGGATTTTTTTCTCTCTCTCAGCCTCGTAGCCGTGGTCGAGGATACGGCGTGTGGTTGAGCAAGGGGAGCTTGCTTGGGAAAATATTCGGACCGTTGATAAGATATACATTAAACGGAGGTCGCTACCTGTTAAACGCATGGGCCTTCAATTGGCGCATCCGTCTGGAGAGAGTCTGGGGTCAGCGTTTGTTTCTTGCGCTAAATTCTTAATCTCGGCCCCAGAAACGCTTGGCTTGGTTTCTTGGCTTCGTACTGAGCCTGGACTGATGGCATCAAGTGGCCGGTTCCATCCTTGAATTGAAATATAACTTTGAGTACATCAGGTATCAATAGAATGTTCGATGTGTTTTCAGACCTTTCATAGAAATGGATATGGATCCATTTGTGGTGGACTTAGTCATGGGCTGTACAGTTCAAATGTTCACTCTGAACTCAATTGAGATTCATCCACTCAAATGGACGTATTATATCTCTCCCTAGCTCATCTTCTAGCCAAGAAAGCACCCGTTCCTGGACCTTCAAATGTTTCCATAAGACCCTGCAAAAAGATTGACAAGGAATTAAAAAAAAACAAGCAAACGAACCAACTTCTCGAGATACACACCATGCCCAAACCCAAGTCGAAGAAGCAGCCGCCAGCCACGGACCAAAAATCTCATCGGCCCCCAAGACTCCTCCGCCGGCCTGGCCCGGCTTCAAACCCCGCTCCCCGTCACCGACCTCGCCCCGGCCCCGCACCCGGCCTTCCCCGACAAGCTGGTCCTGCTTCCCAACTTCTTCCCCGTTCCTTGTGCCGCTCCTACGTTTCCTTCCTCCGCACCCTTCCGCTCACCACCACCCCAGGTCGCCCCAAACGCGGCGAGGCAGTTCGGGTGAACGATAGGTTCCAGGTCGATGACCCAGCGTTCGCCGAGAGGCTGTGGGCTGACACCGGGCTTCGGGATGTTTTTGCCCAGGATGAGTTGGCGCATTTGTGGTGAGGTTTACCAGCCCATTCCCTCTCATCTCCCATTTCCTTAGTATCCTCCGCCGTCTCTTTCCTGCAGTCATCTACATTCCTTCCCGTCTCTCTTATTCGTCAGCGTGTGTCGTCTTCGCCACTTCGGCACACCCTAGCTAATGACTCTCAACGATAGGGGTGGTCAAGTGGTCGGCTTGAATTCAAACATCCGTATCTACCGATATTCTAAATCTCAGTTTTTCGACTGTCACTGTAAGACCGCCCTTAAACCCCTTTCTGCTCCCATCCTAGAGGACTAACCGTTTTCCGTCTCAATCTTAATAGACGACGACTCCAACGCCATGACCCTGCCTCCAAACACCCCCTGCAAAACTACGTGGACCCTCCTCCTCTACCTGACATCCGCGTCTGATCCGGATGGCTGTACAGGCGGTGAAACCGTCTTTTATCCTCACGACCGTCGCCTAGAGAAGGAAGCTGTAGCCGTAGCCCCCGAGACAGGTTTGCTGCTCCTTCACAAGCATGGCGATGACTGCTTATTGGTTAGTTTTCCTTGCGCCTTTCCTTTTCTTTTTGTTCTTGGGTGGTTTGAAAAGCACGCCGTGGCTTCTTTTTGTTTTTCAGCTGTGCTTCGCGTAACCTGACGCAGTTCACACGTACCCCCTTTCTCCCAAAAACTGCAAGGCGCGAATAGAGGTGGAGTACTAATGATTCGAGCAGCACGAAGGTCGAGAGGTCACGTCAGGCGAGAAATGGATTTTGAGAACAGACATCTGTGTTAAAAAGTAGAAGACTTGCTGTCTATAGATCGGACGAGAAGGTGTGAACGGCCCTGTCATCGCCCTCATGCCGCCACATATACCTACACCACATCAAAGAGTTCTTGAGATTGGAGCCTCGAAAAGGAGACTCCCTAGTCTAGTTCATCCCAACCCACGACGTTTCCGGCTTCCCAAAACCCTTAGAGTATCTACAGCTCCTGCGGAGTCTTCGACATCACCACGGCTCAACGCGCTAACCCTGGCCTACTCTCCCCATGGACTACCAACTTGTCTCCTTGCCATAACAGCTTGCTTTCGGCAGATTGACCTGAATATGGCCCTCGAAAAGGGATAGCTCCGCCGGCGTAGTCCTGATCTTTCTCTTGCGGAATATAGTCCGTGGCAATTTCACCTCGATGAGATCACCAAACAGAGATCTCTCACTATCTATTTTCCCGGGCTGGGAACTCGGCTCGACTGGTAGCGGTGCCTGCGCCTGCTTGTAGCTCTGCTGGCCTTCATCTTTACCCATTACCCGTAATCCTTCCCCTGATTTGATGATATCGTCTGATGGCGAGGTCACACTCCCTGAGCTAGATCTTGGCCACCCAAAGCCCGTACGAGATCATCCTCACACCAAAATGCATTTCTCAACGCCGCGGTAGCCTCCCCCAGGCTACAGGCGCATCTTCGTTGGGCTTGTGTGTGAGATCGATGAGTACTCCCTCAACCACGGATAAATTATCTCCCTCCTCTGTCTGGGGAGCATGCTCCGGGCTCTTGAGTTTGCTGTCTGGGCTTTTCGTCTGTTCCTCATTTGAGCGAACTCTGTTACGGGAGGTTGCATAGGGAGGGGATTGGCATCGCCAGTTCCGTCTCTACTCGTCGCATTGTTGTCCTCGCTATCTCCCTTTTCCTTGTCGTCCCTGTTATCCTCGCTGTCCTCGTTGTCCTCGGCAAATTCTGAGGCTCGTGACGACCCGCCAGGTATCCACTTGGCGAACCATCTTCAGTTGACTCCGTATCGAGGGTACAGAAGCGTAGAGACTCGCCATGGTGGATAGACATTTTTCTTGTTGCCTCGGTCGCCAGGATGTCGTCTGGGTGGATGGGCGTGGCGGTAGAAGTCGTGGATCCCTCCCCGCGGGGGTGGTCAACCGCCCTCTCCCCTTTTTCATCGCACTCTGACCCGTTGCTAATTTGCAAAGTACGTCGTGAAAGATCCAGGGAAAGCTTATGAGCGGCATCGACTCGACATCGACACCCTTGCGTCTAGATGCGTCTGCCATCGTGTGCCGAGTAGGATCTCCCGGGCCCTCCAAGGCGGCCTTTGCCTCGTCAGAAGTCACCTTGTATATGGCGGCGACGAACGCTTTCAGTCCGTCGCCCGACGAGCTTCCCGCCGCCTCGTAGCAAAGCTCTCGAAATTTCTGCCGGACGCTTCCAAACTGGCGACCAATCTCTTCTTGAACCTTGTACGCGCTGCCCACCCGCGGCTTGGACAGGACGAACCCGGACCAGACCTCGAATTCCGTGGCAATCTCTCGCTGGCTTAGGATGCGCCGCATGCTCACGTCGTACTGGGCTTTGATTTGGCGGGCCTTTTCGAGAAGCTCTGCATCCTGCGGGGCCTTGTCCAGGATTCGCTTGTCAAAATTATGGGTGTAGGAGGGTATGAAGGCAACGTCGCAAATGGTGTCGTAGATGGCGCCCAAGGCCCTTTTCGACCGGTATATCATGTCCCGGGGCACCCTCTTCTCCATGAAATGGGGCCACCGCCTAGGGATCAGCGACTTGTCCATCTCTGCAGGCTCACCCGACTTGACATAATCGACCGCTTTTGAGTGTAACTTGGCAAGCGTTATACCTGTGACGGGAAGGGAGTGGCGGTGATTTCGCACAAGTTAGTGGCAAGATTTTATGAAGGAGGATACTTGACCTCGTACGATCTATAGATGTATAGGGGAAGAAAGTAGAGAATGGAATCGACTCACACTTTGGGTTTTTGGCACCATCGTGAAGGTTATCGGCGTGGGCAAGATGGGCCAGCGCCACGGTAGGCAAAATATCATTCTTCATATAGCTCACGAAAAACTTTTGGAGATGGCAAACTTGGACGTCCGTGTCAATCTCTTTGGGCTTGGGAGGTTGATAGTCCATGGGCGGGTGATTCCATTCCGGCGGGATCAGGGTTGGCTCCCAAATCACGAAGAAGTCATCCCCGTCGAGGTCACCGCCCGACAACATGCTGGGCAGATCACGGTCACCCTTTGCGGGAAAACCACCACGTCTCGCAAGTGCCTCAGCGCCGGAATGTCGACAGCTTCGACGACCCGGATGTCGCCCGGGTGCAGGGACGGGTTTCGACCCACAATGCACACTCCGGTAATCACCTTTGTCTTTGCTGGATCCTCCGCGTCGGTGATTTGCAGGAAGATTTGGGGCAGCATCCTTACATCTTTCGTTGAGGTTCCTTCAGTCGATTTCTGGTGTCCTCTGAGCGTCGCCGTTTCATCGACGCAGCCCAAGACGAAGGCGCTCCTGTCTATCGGTATCCTTGCCTTTCTTTGACCAGCTTGAGGGACCATACCCTCCATAGATTGAGAACGGTGGAAATAAACGGCTCCTTGACCGCAGGCTCGCGGAAGCCGTGGAGGACGATCTCGGCCAAGGTCAGCGTCGTTTGGTTTTCGTCCACTTGTTGGCGGAGGAGGCTGATGGCGTCGCGGCTGTAAATCTGTGCGCTGTTGTGCTTTTCGACGTGGACGCTCAGCAAATCCAAAAGGTCTGGGTCTGGACCCCAGGGATGACAAGATTGTGATGATTTGTCGATTCAGCGTCGCGCTAGCGAACCGCGCACAGCGGATTATCTCCAAGCCGTTATACTCGGACTCGAACTTGGCCTGCGATCTGCGAACGTGCACCTCACGCTTCTTCGCGTCGGGCCAGACGGCCAATACGCCTTTGCAGCCGCCCATTCGGAACTGGTACGCGGAGGGAGCCATGTGGGCAAAGTCTAAGTCGAGCTCCTGCACAATCATGGCGGCCAGGAACGCGGATATCTTTCCCACGCCGTCGGTGAAGCAGTACCCAGCCGCGTTCTCGACGTCCTCGATGGGGCGAATCTTGGGGACGCTGATGGTCCGAATCTCCCTCGTGGAGGAAAAGCATTGGCCCATGCGAGCGGCGAATTTGGCAACGGTGCGAATGTGGCTGAACTTGCCCATCGAGTTACGGATGTCGTCGCAGGATATCTGGTTCGTGGGGAAAAGAAGTACGCGCCGTTTTCCCGAATCTGGGAGTTTCCAAAAGCTAGAAACTCGTAGTGCCGCCCTCCAACGCGGATCCCCGAAAGAGAACTCGGTAGACCCGCTTGTAGATGTGGTCGTCCCTCTCGCTGTCCGCGCGGGGCGAATCCTGCCCTCGTACAGCTCTCCCGTAAATTGTACGCGAATGAAGCGATCTTGGAGATGTTGGAACCTGCGAAGGACTCTATTGGCTACCTCGAGGGTGGGAGAGGTGAGATACAGCGTGGTCGGGGTAACCATGACCTTGCGCATCACCACGCAGTAGGAGAGGCTCCGGAGACTCGGCGGCGGACTAATCTCAAATGAAGCTGCTCCAGTTTTGCCAAAAATAGTCATCGGGTCGGTTACTCTCTTGCCTTCGTCTGCCACGCGCTCCAGTATGCGTCGAGATTCGCTGCGATTCATGCTCTCTAGTTTCAGTAAGAACGCCGCGTCAATGGCGTATTCTGAGAGGGCACCGCGGGATATGCACACCTCTAGTTGGTACCGGATGTCAAAGGGCAAAGCATGAAGTAGACCTGATACGCGACACAGGTTCGCGACATGCGGGAACCGTTTGACCATGCCAAGTTGCGTCGCGGGCTCCGCGTGGATCAGATTCCATAGGGGGAGGGAAGTTTCGGCTACCTTGAGTTTTGTAGCCGAGTCAATGGTCACGTTGAAATCTTGAAGGGCATCTAGGGCTTGCGAAGCTCTCCCCACCTCATGGAAGAGAAATCCAAACGCCGTCCACCGCCCAAGGTTGACGAACGACGGGTCTGTCATCTCGGCTGAGTCTTGCAGCGACAACTGCCGAAACATTTGACCGTCCAAGACCGTTTCGATATTGGTGGCGCGATGCCAGATGAGGCTTCTTGTCCATGTGGGCGAGTTCTCCGCAAAGGTCTGCTCGACGCTCTCTCGCTTCCAGAAATAATGAGGTGGGTGCTTTAGCGGAATCACCATCGCCCACGACTGGCTGCCATCGATACGTTGCCAATGCACCTTGTCTAAATGACGGAACTCCATGTTCAACTTGTAGAACCCCGGCCGGTTGGGCGAGGAATCCGTTCGGAAGAAGGCAGCAAGTTCCATTCTGACCAAGTCTAGCGTTATCTCGAACTCCGGAACCCCCAGCCAAGTCTTTGCTGCCTTGAAGGGTCTTCAGAGGCATGAGCGTGGTGTCGTCCTGCATTACCCCAAACGACATACAGCTGGGGGTCAGCTTTATAAACCGGTCGTAGAACACACGGGGCCTGGTTGGGCTCCTGACTTTGAACCCGGACATCTGCCTCAATGGCTCGACCTCGACGCGTACACGGCATGACCTTCCCGATGATTTGAAAGGGATCGGAGACTTTTCCCAAAAGCAGTCTCCGGTGGTGGGCTAAATCGAACCCTGCCCACCTTGAAACTACCGCAGTTTTCATCAAACACCTCTACGAAGGCGATTTCGCCCCCATGTTGGCAAAGGTTTCGAAACAGATGAAGCGGCTTCGCGTCGCGTGGAATATTCTTAAGGCGTACTGTCAGCTCGGGCCATGATCTCCAGGGTATGCTGCCCAGCCTAAGTGGCATGGTGTGACTAGGCAACGGGCGGCTAGGGCCAGGCAGGACGGCGGACTGCTGTGGAAGAGATGGGATCCCAAGATCGGCCGCCGGGATGCCGCTAGGTTGAGCGTTGTTGGGTTCAGTGGCGAGCAGCGGGCCCCCGCATTCACGGGCATCCCCGTCATCTCGTAGTGTTTTTCGCGTCAGCCACGACACGCCGCCCAGCTATCGATATCTCGTCGCGGCTCTGGCGGATGGCTGCAGCTACAGCATGGTCTCTAGTCAGTATCTGCATGCAACATTGTAGTGGCGAGCTGGAATTTCTTACGCAAGTATGGAAGCTCAAAGTCCAAGGTTTCTTCTTTTCCCGTGGGCTCATGGCCTTGGCTAGATGCCATTGGGAAGGGGTCGGAGGGCTTGCAAGTGAGATTGATTTTCGGACTGATCGAGTGGGCTAGGGTGTGAAATGGTGGTTGAGCTTGGAGGAAGATGGAAGATCCAAATAAGGCCACTCTATGGGGGAAAGTTGGAAGTCAAGAGGTAGTCAAGGGGAACACACATGGATAGTGATGCTGTTTGCTATAGAGGCTCACCCCTTGGGCAGCGCAGGCCGATCCTTCTCAAGTAGGATATGATCTCGGAAAGAAAGAGCATCTATCATGCATGAAGAAGAAGGCCTAGTTTCCTCTCCTATCTATATAGCCCTGGAGCTATACATGTAGACTTTGTTAGGAATGATTTGGGAAGGGAGGCATATATGTGCATCTAGGTCTATGTATTGACTTGACGAGAACGATTGAAGCTATCACCAAGGCAACTAAGAGAAAATCTCTTACAATGGGGGAGGCAGAACTGAATAAGAGAATTGGTTGATTTATTATCCTTAATTTCATATAGTCTAGAATCTTCTCAATGGGGGATTACTAGGACCACGTTGAAGGCCAGCATGGGCAGGTGCTCCCTCAAATGATTCTGGAAATGAGACCAAAAACCTCAATCTAAACACCACATTAGGACGAGCTCCCAAGGAGAATGATATAAGTGATTTGCTAATTCAAATCCTCTCTTCCCATGTTTGGCTTCTGGGATGTTGTGGGGGCTTTGGGCAAGTTTCACGTACGCAAACAGGCAACAACTGTCCGGAATTCTCAAGCATCACGAGAAAACTTGGCGAAATCAGCCATGCTGTCTAGTCTCAAGCCCGTCAGTAATGGAACGCACGGCCTCCAAGGCTCCATGGGCATGCAAAATAAAGAAAAGGCGGCTTTCGGGGATGGCGCAAGGTATTATTCTCTTGTTGAGCTCGACTCATCGCCCGTCGCAGACGCAGACGGGCCGCTCCTCTACATGGATCCTGGATGAACTCCCCCAAAATGCGTGGCCACATGCAGTTGTACCCTGGAAATCAATGCTGCCTCGGAAGAGAACGAAAGAAGAAGGTGTAACAAGCAAAAACAAAAGAGAGAAAAGAAGGATTTGGGAAAACCACGGCTGTAAATGTCCCCTGAAAATCCCCCAATAATGAATTCCTCCCATATCGGCCGTTGAAGTCTCATTAAGTCCGTTGTCCCAAGAGTTTTTACGCTGGAGCAGCCCACCAGCACACTACTAGATCACGCTTGAAAGCTCCTCGCAAATCTAAACTTGCCGACGTCAAGGCACATCCATGATCTTGCCTGGGTTCATGATCCAGTGAGGGTCAAGCGCTCTCTTGATCGCCCTCATAACACCGAGCGTATCAGGCCCAACTTCAAGGAGAAGAGAGTCCTTCTTGCCCCATCCGACGGAGTGCTCTCCCGTGCAGGTCCCCTCCATGTCGATGGCTCGTTTGACCATATTCTTGACGCATTTCTCGACCTTGTCGCGTTCCTCTTTCTTGGTGCGGTTGTAGATGATGCTCTCGTGGAAGTTGCCGTCGCCAATGTGACCCAGAATGCTCGCGAAGAGACCGAGATCGTCCATCTCCTTCTTGCTCACCTCAATGATGTCGGCGAGCCTGCTAAAAGGGACAGCAACGTCGGTGCTCCCTATTACCCATCGATGTCGTATTAGCAATCGCAACTTACATCAACGCAGATGAATATAAAAGAACAGGCACCCGGAGGGCAAGGAGCTTCACTTACAAACTTCCTCCCCATCTTTCCTCAGGGCAAGCATGGACCACAAAGACTCCTTCCTGGCCGACCACAAAAGCTTTTGCTCCTGCTCGTCTTTGGCAAACTCAAACTCGCCACCCTTGTGCGCCTTGGCGATGCGCTTCACCTGGTTGATGTTTTCGCGCACGCTACTCTTGGTGCCAGCAAACTTGAAGAAGAGGGTGGGTTGCTCTTTCCACACGCGAGGGCCGTCGCACCTCCCATGTTGACCACTTTCATCTGCACTTCGTCCATGATTTCCATGGCGGCGATGGGGATGCCGGTTTGCATCACCTCAGCCGCAACAGATGCGGCGTCTCGGATAGAGGGGAAGGGCACCACGGCGACGGAGAGATCCTCCGGCACAACCGCAAGCTTGAGGGTAGCTGAGGGGAAATACTGTTAATCGCCGCATACCTGGCTTCTTGGGCCGGCAAAGGGAATTTGTGGTTATCATCATACCTTCTGTTACAAGCCCGAGGGTGCCCTCAGAGCCGACAAAAATTCCGTTGAGATTGTACCCCGCCGAAGACTTCCAGGCCGTCGCCTAGTCTTGATGACGGTGCCGTCGGCGAGCACAACGGTAAGATTGATGACCCAGTCCTTCATGGTGCCATATTTGACTGCGTTTGTGCCAGAACAATTCGTTCCAATCATTCCACCAATCTTGGCACTCGGCCCTGCGTCGCCCAAGTAGGGTGTGCCATTAGTACATATCATTGATGGACTACGTAAGGGTAGGTGGCACTCAAAAGAAGAGAGAGTCAAGGGGAGGGACAGAAAGAGTGAGAATGAGAACTCAAAACTTACCAGGATCGATGGGGAAAAACAAGCCGCTGCCCTGTTTAGCGAGCTGCTCGTTCAAGTCCTGCCAGCCGATGCTAGGCTGCACAACGACGTCCATGTCGTCTCTGTTGAACTGGACAACCTTGTCCATAAATGCAAAGTCGACGCTGATGCCGCCGTACGGGGCGGAAAAGTTGCCCTCCAGGCTAGACCCGCCAGAGTACGGAATGACGGGGACCTTGTACTTGTAGCATATCTGGGCCAGGATGGACACGTCCCGGGTCGACCGCGGATACGCCACAGCAACCGGAAGGCCATCCGGATTAGTCGTCGACCACTCAGAGTAACCATGCGCCCACAAGTCCTCGGGATCGGTGGAAATGACGTCGTCATGGCCGAGAGCCTCCCGAATCTCTTCCAAAGCCTACACGAAAAAAAGGAAAAAAGCCGAACTGTTAGTATTGTTCAGGTGAGCGCCAGAATTTCAGTGCGTGTTGCCTCACCCTTTGCATATCTCTCACGTTTGCGTATCGCGGAGGTCTCCCAGCGTCCAACAGTGTCTTGTGGCCCCCGAGACGGGTGACCAGGTCACCGGCCGTCAAGCCGTGCTCCTGGCTCAGGAGGACGCGGCCCAACCAACAACGCCCGCGCCCACGGCCACGGCCACGACCGAAGACCCCGTCCATCTCGAGGACGCGGATGCTGATGGTGTACCGTTGCTGGAGGCACCGGAACGACGTGGCGCCGAAGTTGACATGGACTGTCTGGCTGATACCGACCGCGCGACGGCTCTGCCGGAGCGGAAGAGCGGCCGCGCACAGCTGCTGGCCGACATTGTGCCTGGCAAAATTTTCTGCGTTAATTAATACCTATAATACGTCGCGCGCCAGGTCTCTCATGCGTGAAACGAAAAGTGGTCGGTTGTCACGCTTTAAACGCAAAACGTTTAGGCAAGACCAAAGGAAAAGAGAAAGCAAAGGAGAAAAAAAGAAAAAAAGCAGAAAAGAAGAAATCAGCGTTGAGAGCAGTCACGAGATGATTGCCGTGCTGTGCGACTAAGGTCGAGCAGAGAGGAGGAAGAGGTCCTTGGCACCTTGCGGATGAGTCGACCTGATGCGATATATAGTTGATGGACAGCTGCGGTGCTGAGCAATATATCAACGAGAATAACCCCTAGCTGTGGCGGGGGTTGCCTGCTATCAATTGATCCTCTCTTGGGCAGCTGTGTGGGGAATCTCTGGTGGTGTAAGCGATTGGGGGCGATGGAGAGTCGCAAGATTATGCTGGATCCGTTGACTGATACCAGAGGAGGAAATGCACACGAAGGGGAGGCCGAAGGAGGGAGTAAGAAGAGAGCCCGAGAATTTGTCTCCCACTCGACAATATTCTTCTTCTCTTTGCTTCTTTGTCTCCTTGGCGGAGGTGGCACCCGGGAGTAAGGCTCCGAGGGGAAGGAGGGCGATCTCTCGAGGAGAATGAAAGGTGTATTATACCCCAAAGGGAAGAGAGACGGCGGAGAGCACGCTGCAAGGAATATTGTGGATGGGTGGATAATGGATGGCTTACTGGGGTGAGCCTTGGTTCTGGAGCCAGTGGTGTGGCTCCTCTGACCTCCAATATAATAAGTTCAGTTGAGAACTAACCCGGCTTGGGCCTGGGGACTGATCAAGGGTTGAGGGGCAGGATAAAGAAAGGAAAGCAAAGAGACATAAAAGAACATTGAACCTACCACACACCCTCAAGGTACGTCGGTTTATAAGCGGGCAAATAGCCAGGGAGAGGGGCGGAAGCTCGGGGCTTTGCGCAAGCGTCGTCTGTGATCTGTTGTCGGTCTTGAACCAAGATCTGACTCGAACCGTTCGCTTCGTCCGTTTTCGTTTCTTCCGTTTAGATTTTGTCTCCTTTTTTCAACTGAAACCATGCGCTCGCGGGGCAAGAGCAAGAAAAGAGGTGAGAAATAAGATGAAATAAAATAAAAAAGGCGCAGTGCTCAACAGGGCAGGTGGCAGACGGTGGCTTGAAGAGCTGCTGGGTTTCGGGAAGGGGGAGAGCGAACCCTGAAGCTGACAGGATGTCGGTTGGGCGGGTGGGAACTTTGTTCTGCGAGAAACAGTAGCGCGCCTGGCCAGGATTGGGCTTTTTCCTTTTGTCGTTCCCTTCTTTTTTTCTCTCTCGTTTTGCCTTTGCCTTTCACGAGGCCTGTTTCCTCTTCCGGATCTAGACGCAGTTGCAGAGCAGCCAGACTTTTTTTTTTATTTATTTCCTAAGAGGAGCCAACCGAGTTCCACACTGGAGCAACACACGCCCCCTCGAGTCGCTTGCGTCGTTTGCCTGGGCGAAGGAACCCAAGGGGATGGGAAAATGGGCCGGCAAGGAGGAGATCAGCCCAATCAGAACCAAACCCTGAGCCAATAAACGTATACTCCCAGTTGACAAGTATTCCTGGCTGTCGTCGGCTTTCAGGGGCGAACGCTGATGTACCGATGCAAAAGAGGCAACAATGAAGACTCCAGACTACTTCGCTGTTCTCGTCGTAGAAACGGGGAAAAGGAATGGAACGGAAAGGGAAGAAAAGAGGGTATATAGATGTACATGTATTCAAAGAAATCGAAAAAGAGCATGTTTAAAAGCGTACGCTGAGGCTCACGCGCTCAGGACAGCGAGGATGTTCCCGACAGTGGAGCTTTCGCACGATGGAGAAAACTAATCCGACGTAGATCAACGAGGAAGATGGCGCTAGGCTCCCTTGGCTCCCCAAGTGGAACATTGATGGATCAATGGAACGTGCGAATAATACCGATACTTGGTACTCCTTCAGGGCGTCGATTCAGAAGACCCATCAATGACTGATTGATCCTTGGCCTCAACAGACGGGATCGATTGATCAATTGGAACATTGAATAACATTAGGCGAGGAGGCCGGCCAGCAGGGTTGCGCAAGCTTAACCGTCCCGGTAAGGACAACCCCTGAAGCGAGCACACCTCTCGGATCAATGTTATCTGGGGTAGTGAAGATGGGATAGATCCTGGATGCAGACGACGACAGAACCGGCCCGTACCCCTTGCTGTATGTGCCTCTCCCCGCCAGCGGTCTGCAGGGGAAGAAAGACGTAGGGAATAAGAAAAAAGGAGTTATAAGGTCTATAGAAGAAAGAGAAAGCGGCAGAACATGATGAAAAAGAGGGTGAGGAAGGAAATGGGCGGGAACTAAAACAGCGGCAAGCTGGACACCTCGGGCACTAGAAGATCCATTGGGTCAATCGTGGTTGCCCATTCGTGTAAACCGTAAAGGTCAGGTCAGTTGCAACTGGGCCGTGCTGTAGCGTGGCAAGTGGGTGAGCAAACTACTTGGCTTGGTACATATAGACGATGGAGTTTTGGGTCTCCGCAATTTAAGAAGTGGGTTTGCCTTCGATCGGTCTTTCCATGGCTTTTTTCCCTCGTGCTGTCTCTCCTCTATGTTGGAGCCCTGATATCGAGTGTCGACCCTTGGGTAGACGAATACAAGTAGGTTGGGCTCAGGACCCATGTTCTGCGAGAAGAGGGGTCTGATCTCCGTTTTTTCTTCTTTCCTTTTTCTTTCTTTTTCTTTCTTTTTTTCCCTTTCTCCGCAATGCATCCTTTGCGACAGGAGCTACTTCAAGTCAAGTGGGCTATCAGTTGCCTCTCTTGAACGGGCAGCCTCAACCTGACTGAGTGCGTGCAGCGAGGAAAACAGGCCCAGTCACCTCAGCCTCTACATCTATGTATTATCAATAAAAAGTACCTTTCGCTCAAGCTTTCGCCGCCCTTTCGCCCCTGCTCAAGAAGCCCATCCCACGATCAGTGCGGGGACAGGAGCTCAAAGAGGAGTACTGGTAATTTTTGTGCGTGTTGAGCTTGCGTGTCGAACCACGGAGATTTGAGGAGAACTGAGGAGATTGAGGGGAACCTGGAGCGAGTTGGCGAGCCCACTGCAACTTCAGTTTGCCCAAAATTGCTGCGCGGTGAGTGGAGAGTCTTTTCGTTGTCACCCGCCCCCGATGTACCGAAATCCATTCAGGGACTAGCCTCGACTTAAACCTAGGCAGGTTAGCGGAAAAGTGTGCGAGACGAGGGGGACGACGGGCGGGAAACGGGCGGTCGTCGTTTGGTTAGGCTTGACGATGTGCCGCTTGGTGGTAGCGAACTTGGTGAGGGAAGCACATGCAACCAGCGTTCGTAATATTTCGTTGCTATTCCCATTTTGAGAAGAGAGGGGGTGGCAGCTTTGTCGATTAACTCTTCGAAGTCTTGGGGAGATGATCAGCTCCGGGCCACTTTCTACAAAGTGGCCCCGTCCTCCCATTTAGACCCAGTACGAGGCAAAGGTAGGGTTTTGAAGAAACGATGAGGGCACAGGAAATCTATAGAACAAGAACCCCCAAGGTTCCGAATTAGAACTCTAACGGTTCAAAAGAGGGGGATTGGAGGGCACGAAAAGATAGAATACCATAAAAAAATGCAGCCTACAGAATACAGAAGCAGAGGGGCAGGTTGAGGGCTAGATTAAACTGAATTTGACTAATATCGATATAAGACAGCACGCACATACGCACGGCTAGTCTGTAGAGAACCATTCCGCTTTACATCACATCGCATCGAAGAGCTCACTCGCCCATCCATCGAGACTGTCCTCTTCGGCATCTTGCGAGGTTCGGAGGAAACCGACCGCAACGTGAGCCCTCGGCGGTGGATCAGGGACGACATGGTCGAAAGTCACCCAAGTTTTCGGTGAATTCGTCACAACATTGAACATCTTTCGTGGCGCATCGCAACCCAAATTTCAGGGGATCACGCATGCACTGCTATTCATCTCGTGTCGACTTTTTCTTGTTCAAAGATACACATGTATTTGCTAGGGACTGGAACCATCCCCATCACCCTGCCCCGCACGCAGTAGTTCCTACTCCGAATCCAACGCTGCAGCAGAAGCGAGAGAGGGGAAAGATTTTTAACCATGTGGAGACTGCCCATCAAGCCGTGTATCATCAATCGTGCATCATGCCTCATGCATCGTAACGTCGACTGTAGGCGAGGCCCTATGTGCCGAGCAAGTGTGACAGGCGGTTTGCTGCTGGCGTCAGGCTGGAATCGATATTTTCTTCTTGTTTTCTCCCTTCTAGTTTTCCTCTTTTCTTTTCTTCCTTCTTCGATTCCATGAATAAGGGTGGGGGAGGACAAAAGAATGCCCGATGAGAAGGAGGGCAAGGCATGGGCAGCAGCCTGAATCCAGAGGGAAATTTTGGATGCCCTTGCGGCTGACATATCGGGCTCCTCCGTTGCCTCGAGCCTCTCTCGGCCTTTGGATTTTTAGTGCACAAGTCTCAAACGCGGAGGCGCGGCAGCTTCAAGGATGACGGCAAACCACGTCCATCCTAGCTGGTGGCGCCCGCCGCCCTTCGGCACACTCTTTGGCCGAATCGCGGGATGAAGGGGGAAGGTAGACGATCAGGGATAGATTCCTGACCATCTAGTCGAGGGCAAGACGGGG